GAGTATTGATCAGGCATTGTTTCCTAGAATCGATTATGTTGGCTGTGTAATATAGGACCACCCTGCTGTCTATATAAAGACCTAACCCTCTTGCGTTCAGGCTTTGTACTACAAAAACTAATCTCGCAAAAATGGTCATACCATAACTGTCACTTGTCACTTTCTCTTTTGTTAAATTTATAAGAAAGCTGTTACATTTTCAACTGAATATCCCTATTGAAAAATAAAATGCTGTTAACCACTTTCAATAGAAGCTGATTCAAGGTTCATAAAAAGGACTGGTTTCTTTATTCCTAAAGGGAATAATGATCCCATTAACAAAATACTCACTCATGGAGAAAAAAATTGTATCTTTATTCCACACGATCATACAGTGACATATTCCTTTTGACATCATTGTGTAAAAGCAATTTCACTCCCATATTAATTCTGCTCAGCGACATTAGCACATCTATAGACTCCCGGACCTTTATTACAAAGTAGGTGGCCTGGAGGAAAATATATGTATTCGTTCCCTATGGCATAAAATATGGATTTGTTCCCTATGGCATACAATATGCATATAGGTTCCTCATTTCATCTCCAATCTGTGTTATTCCTTAAAAAATTCACAACTGCCTGCAGTCTTCTTAAATATTTAATTAGACAACTTTTTAATCTGTCATTACGCTGGGATGAAGTAATGATCAACTGACACAATTTTATTTTAAATTATACTTGGAAATAGGAACTGAAATGATTCAACGGTTGTGGGCTGTACAGTGCCTTCAGAAAGTATTCACATCCCTTGACTTTTTCCAAATTGTGTTGTATTACACCCTGAATTTAAAATAGATTAAATTGTGATTTTTTTGTCAATGGCGACACTCAATACCACATAATATCAGTGGAATTATGTTTTTCGAAATGTTTACAAATTAATAAAAAATGAAAGGAAGGGCACCTATTGGTAGATGGGTAAACATTTAAAAACAGACTTTGAATATCCCTTTGAGTATGGTAAAGTTATTAATTACACTTTGGATGGTGTATCAATACATCCAGTCACTTCAAAGATACAGGCGTCCTTTCTTACTCAGTTGCCAGAGAGGAAGGAAACCGCTCAGGGATTTCACCATGAGGCCAATAGTGACTTTAGTGTCTTTCAGTTACAGAGTTTAATGGCTGTGATAGGAGAAAACAGAGGATGGATCAACAACATTGTAGTTACTCCACAATACTAACCTAATTGACAGAGTGAAAAGAAGAAAGCATGTACAGAATAATAATATTCCAAAACATGCATCCTGTTTGCAACAAGGCTCTAAAGTAAAAAAAAATAAAAAAATGTGGCAAAGAAATGGACTATGTCCTGAACAGGGGCGGTGTGTTCAATAGGGCGATATGGGCGACGCACTGCCAAACGGGAAAAGGAAGGGATTTTTTTTCTAATCAATTATATCACGGCAACAGTAGTTATCAGTGTTGTAATCTAGACGTCTGATCTGCCACAGTGCCACACTGCCACTAAATGTCCAATCAGGCTAAAGTCGTGCTTCAAATGCCCCCCCCCCCCTTTTGGGGCGATTTCAGTCAGGTTGAAAATCGCCCAGAAGTCTGTCATAGACTCCCATGTAAAATCTATTTTTTTCAAATTTCAGAGCTTTCAATACAATCTCTATGGGTTTCTGAGGGCTTGCACTTACGCGCTTTCGTCATACGTAACGTAACCATGAACGTAACTAAGAAAAGAGCGGGTAGCAGCATCAATCAATTCACGTACTACTATCAAGATGGCTATAGCGTTCAGTGCAACTCGATTGTCTCTTTGAAAGAAGTTCACATCAAAGAGACAACCACAAAGTGCAGGAGCGCTTTTTTGAGTTCCTTCCCATCTCGGAATCAACCTCAGTCTCAATCGCCAGTGTGCTTTTGGAGAGACTGAACGGTCTTTTTGCCGACGACGTGAAAGTCAAACTCATTGCGCAAGCTTACGATGGAGCCAGTGTGATGAGGCGAGAGAAGGCAAAAGGTGCGTGAGCATTTCAAGAAAGGCCATTACGTGCATTGCTATGCGCATCAGCTGAATTTGATCATGCAGCAAGCTAAAAAGTAACTAGTAAACTAGTCCTCAGCATGCCTGATTTCAATGAGAAAGTCATTGACCGCTTTGCTGCATTGAAAGAGAGAAGAGAACAGTTTCAGTACAAGTAATGTAGCCTCTCTCTCTCTTTGTCCCTCCCTGTCTGTCTCTTTAACACACACGCCCAAATCAGTTCACAGTTGATGTTGTTTAAAATAGTTATTTTTCATTTTAAAAAAAGTAAACAATTTTTTTTACAAATCTATACAATTGGCCAGAATATGGTTGTTCATATTTACAAAGCCATACAGATAGCTGTGTTTACCTTTTCTAGAAATTATTTTCAAATTCTGTTTTCAGGCAAAATGTCTATCACTGTTCATTTTCACAAATCTATACAAGAGGGCAGAATATGGAAGTCTATAAAAATTTCTTATTACCAATAACTTGCATCAATGTTTTCAGTAGCCTCTATCAAAAGCTCCTGCTTGCTCAGGTGCACATATTTCCAATTCAACCATGAGGCCTTTTTGAAGCAAGTAATGTGTATATCAGTATTGACTTATATGCTGCCCCTGTCTTCATGTTGTTGCTGGACATATCTTTTTTAAAATGTGTGTAGGTCACCTAAATCATCAGAAAAATTGCCCCCCCTGAGAATTTTTTCAGGAGCCGCCACTGGTCCTGAATACAAAGCGTTATGTTTGGGGCAAATCCAACACAAGACATCACTGAGTATCACTCTTCATATTTTCAAGCATGGTGGTGGCTGCGTCATGTTATGGGTATTCTTGTCATCTGCAAGGACTAGGGAGTTTTTTATGATAAAAATAAACAGAATAGAGCTAAGCACAGGCAAAATCCTAGAGAAAACCTTTTTCAGTCTGCTTTCCAACAGACAGTGTTAGACAAATTCACCTTTCAGCAGGACAATGACCTAAAACACAAGGCCAAATATGCACTGGTTGCTTACGAGGACGACATTGAATGTTCCTGAGTGGCCTAGTTACAGTTTTGACTTAAATCGGCTTGGAAATCTATGGCTTGAAAATGGCTGTCTAGCAATGATCAACAACCAACTTGACAGAGCTTGAAGAAATAAAATAATAATAATGTGCAAATATTGTACAATCCACGTGTGCAAAGCTCTTAGAGACTTACCCAGAAAGACTGACAGCTGTGATTGCTGCCTAAGGTGATTCTAACATGTATTGACTCAGGGGATTCAATACTTATTTAATCAATTTACGGTAAATTCATGTTTTTGTTTACAAATGTTAGAATTTTTCATCCACTTTTAAATTACAGAGTATTTTGTGTAGACCGTTGACAAAAAAAGACAATTAAATCAATTTTAATCCCACTTTGTAGCACAACAAAATGTGGAAAAGTCAAGGGGTGTGAATACTTTCTGAAGGCACTGTATATTTGTTTTTGCACAACTAATAATATGAGCTTTAGTGAAAAAAAAAAGTATTTTGTTCAAATACTAATTTATTATGAGAAGGGCTTACTAAGAAAAACTTCAAAAATAACTAATTCGAGGTAGAAACTCCTTAGACACTGTGGCTCCTAAGGGGCTAAATGATGATTTTTCACTGTCCTCATTTCTATAATGTTGTTGCTTAGATTTTTTGGGTCTCTGTGTCTCCGAATTCACAGACAACCAAATATCACCTATGTATATTTTGACATGGCCTATTGATTAATGAGACTAACTATTTATCTTATTATTAGTATTATTTTGTGCTACAATTTGCCATTTACCTTGAAACATATTATAATGATTATTTTCTTACATTGTTGTGTCTCAATGAGCCACTAGGTTATAAATAGGAGCTAAGTGCAATGGTCAGGTCACTCTGAGGAAGACGTCAGCTTGACGTCGAAACGTCAGTCACATGTTTGCATCCTGTACAATGGATTAAAGTGAGCTAAAATAAATACATCTCTACTTTTTTTTGTTGAGTGCTCCAACTCCTTTCTACCTTGAATTAGTCCCTTTGGAAGTTTTTCTTGGTAAGCCCTTCTCATGATATTTGTCATTGTTGTTGAGCACCCCTCCTTTCCTTTGTTTGCTGAAGCGCGAAGGCCCACCTGAACTCTGACTAGTTTATTATATTCACTCTGCCAACACATACAGTCGGCTACCAAATTACCGTCATACACTCAGGCTGTGCTAGGAATCTCAGTATGCTCTGAGGACAGCCTTGTAGGGAGGGACACAGGAAATCAAAGTAATGGAGTTCATAGGACTACTGTACTGGGCATCTATTATCTCACTGCACTTCTGCCCTAACCTACAGTTTTTCCACACATTCCTTGCTGTTTCCTTTCTATTCCCCACTTTGAAACAAATGCTATTGGATAGCTATTTTAGCATAGAACATGCTAGCTACTAATGGCAGTCTAGTCACTGATGTGACATTTGTGGTATTTTCTACAATGCCCCTTTTTGTTATGAACCCCCCAAATAGACAGAGTCTGTTTCAAAAAGGTCTGTAAAGCATTCCGATCCAAGTTGTAGTCAACATGACAGATGCCATGTCTCCAATAAGAGCTTTAAGTAGGAAATACTTTGCCTTTGTTAGTGTGAGCTTGTTGCCAAGGATCTGACTGAATCTGAAGATTTCTGTGTTTGTTTCCTTAAAACAAGTTGTACAGTTGACTTACGAGATGCTCAAAAGTCATTCACCTATCAGGGAGTGTCACAGAGCAATGTCAATTACTGTCTGTCTTTTTTTAGCTTGTTCTGATCTTCAGTGATCACAGATTATCCATCAAGCTAGAGAAATAATTACCTTGAATGTCTTGTGAACAGACTGGGAGCAGATGCTCAAATAGCACCACTGTCTCTACCAAGGTGAATGTGTTTGCAATTTCCCCCTGTATCCCTGCTTAGTGAGATGGCCAGACAATACATAATGAAACAACTCAAATGAATGTAGTACCCTTGGTCCAGATGAATGGGTTTGGTGCCCTGGCCCCCACCTCCCACCTAGCCCCCACCTCCTCCCTGTTCAGCCCTATTACCACAAGGCCTCTCTACCAATCTGGCCATGTTGGGCCCCCACTGTGGAGCATCATGGCACTGGGAGTTGTGGAACTCTGTCCCCCCATAGCCCCAGGCTGCCTCTACATTTGGTATGCTGCTCAAGGTTAAAAGGATCCCAGTTGAGTGTTTAACACTGCATACGGCTTGGACCCAGGACAACACTAACACTAGCTATCTTGAACAAGAAGAGCAATGCTGCGGAGTGCTGCACCTTGAGGAATATCTCCCTCCTATTTCCGGGTGAACTATTTGTCTTTGGGTCTGAATTTGATGTTTTTTTAATCCAGATTCTTCATCAACCATCAATAGAAAAGAGCAAACAACATCATTACTACCATTCCCAGTGCAAAACTGGCAGGTTATACAGTTGAAGTCAGAAGTTTACATACACTTAGGTTGGAGTCATTAAAACTTGTTTTTCAACCACTCCACACATTTCTTGTTAACGAACTATAGTTTTGGCAAGTCGGTTAGGACATCTACTTTGTGCATGACACAAGTAATTTTTCCAACAATTGTTTACAGACAGATTATTTCACTTATAATTTACTATATCACAATTCCAGTGGGTCAGAAGTTTACATACACTAAGTTGACTGTGCCTTTAAACAGCTTGGAAAATTTCAGAAAATGATGTCATGGCTTTAGAAGCTTCTGATAGGCTAATTTACATCATTTGAGTCAATTGGAGGTGTACCTGTGGATGTATTTCAAGGCCTACCTTCAAACTCAGTGCCTCTTTGATTGACGTCATGGGAAAATCTAAAGAAATCAGCCAAGACCTCAGAAAAAAAATTGTAGACCTCCACAAGTCTGGTTCATCCTTGGGAGCAATTTCCAAACGCCTGAAGGGACCACGTTCATCTGTACAAACAATAGTACGCAAGTATAAACACCATGGGACCACGCAGCCGTCATACCGCTCAGGAAGGAGACGCGTTCTGTCTCCTAGAGATGAACGTACTTTAGTGCGAAAAGTGCAAATCAATCCCAGAACAACAGCAAAGGACCTTGTGAAGATGCTGGAGGAAACAGGTACAAAATTATCTTTATCCACAGTAAAATGAGTCCTATATCGACATAACCAGAAAGGCCGCTCAGCAAGGAAGAAGCCACTGCTCCAAAACCGCCATAAAAAAGCCAGACTACGGTTTGCAACTGCACATGGGGACTGTAGAACTGTTTGGCCATAATGACCATTGTTGTGTTTGGAGGAAAAAGGGGAATGCTTGCAAGCCGAAGAACACCATCCCAACCGTGAAGCAAGGGCGTGGCAGCATCATGCTGTGGGGGTGCTTTGCTGCATGAGGGACTGGTGCACTTCACAAAATAGATGGCATCATGAGGAAGGAAAATTATGTGGATATATTGAAGCAACATCTCAAGAAATCAGTCAGGAAGTTAAAGCTTGGTCGCAAATGGGTCTTCTAAATGGACAATGACCCCAAGCATACTTCCAAAGTTGTGGCAAAATGGCTTAAGGACAACAAAGTCAAGGTATTGGAATGGCCATCACAAAGCCCTGACCTCAATCCTATAGAAAATGTGTGGGCAGAACTGAAAAAGCATGTGTGAGCAAGGAGGCCTACAAACCTGACTCAGTTACACCAGCTCTGTCAGGAGGAATGGGCCAAAATTCACCCAACTTATTGTGAGAAGCTTGTGGAATGCTACCTGAAACGTTTGACTCAAGTTAAACAATTTAAAGGCAATGGTACCAAATACTAATTGAGTTTATGTAAACTTCTGACCCACTGGGAATGTGATGAAATAAATTAAAACTTGAAATAAATAATTCTCTCTACTATTATTCTGACATTTCACATTCTTAAAATAAAGTGGTGATCCTAACTGACCTAAGACAGGGAATTTTTACTAGGATTAAATGTCAGGAATTGTGAAAAACTGAGTTTAAATGTATTTGGCTAAGGTGTATGTAAACTTCCGACTTCAACTGTAGCTACTGTTCTAGAGTCACTACCATTGGAACCTATAATAGTTACCCTGTAACATGCTACTTAGTCAATGTTCCCTGTTTGTAAGACAACAACTCCTGGACTGAGATGCATGATTTATAGGTCATACACTTGCTGCTTTTGCTGGTGTTCAGTTTAATAGCTGACAGAGCACTTCTGACTTTGAGTAACAGAGCTCAGAGAAACTGCATGCTGGGCTCTATAGTGACTCTACCTCTGACCCAGAGTGAGGGAGGCTAGATTTATGAAAACCACATGTTTAATACATTTCATTTGTCCAGGGGATTTGTATCGCTTACCGCAGGATTTTAGACTTGCAGCATTCGGTGTATAGTACCGGTGCTGGTATTGACCTAATATTTGTTCCTGTAGATTTGTCTTATGACACCTCTCACTCCATACCTTTCCATAGAGATATATCTACTGTATATTGCATTGTTGTGCAGATGTTTGCTGTACATGCAGCCATGATATTTCATACATAATCCCCCCTAAAAACCTGCAAAATAAATGGAAAACGGGTAACCACATACAGCGACTGAATATCAGATAGGTGGGTTATTTAAAGGACTGAAGTTGACCTCACTGTGATATACGACCTGTGTGTATTCGTACATAAAGCCAGAGATATGAGACATACAGTACTGTAGCCTGTTTGCAGAGGAACTCTTCCCATTGGTAAACACATCCTGTGAGGATAGCAGCTATGGAGACAAGGGAAAGAACACCAAATGGACGAGACCAAATAATATTTGCTTTTCTGAAGTGTTGGCATCAGGTAAAAAGTAGAAAGCCATGGCTTTGCTCTCACCTGTAATCAGATAACAGTTTATATAGTGTAGTGTTTGTCTTCGTAATGGTGTTTCGATTTAGGTGAGTCTGTGTCATCCCCCTCCCATACCTGTACTGTCTCCTGCAGCTGGGCTTAATGAGAGAATACATTAAAAAGGGTAGGGAGACAGAGATGGAAAGAAAGTTCACGACCTGGGTTAGTAACTATGCAGCGTTTAGTACACTGAGTCACTGCCCAACACATCCAGCTGTGGACTGACAGTCCTCTCTGTGGACGTGGATGCATTGTTTACTCATAGGATGCAGGCTAGTGTAATGTTGACAGATATATGTAGCTAGTGGCGAGTGATCGTCAGAATGTATGAGGGCTCATAATGCTGCTGTCATCTTGTGGTGCCATGTTGAAAATAAGCACTACCTGTATTTATTGACTTGTTTTACTAGCCTTAAACAGGGCGCTTTTATACGGGCCTGCTCAGTCTTAAGACTCTCCAGACATTTACATTATTCCTGGCTGAGTTACACACACATATAAAAGGGCACGTCCGCAGGCCAGAGCGGGTATGTGCACTTCACACATACATGGGAGCACATTACCCATGCATAAATGCTACATAGCTACATATTCTATACTACTATAGTTGTTAGTAGAGTTCTTTTTGATATGATTTTATATTTATTTTCAATGAATTGTTTTGCCCATGTGTCACGCCGTGACCTTAGAGATCCTTTTTATTCTCTATTTGGTTAGGTCAGGGTGTGATTTGGGTGGGCATTCTAGTTTGTCTATTTCTTTGTTGGCCGGGTATGGTTCCCAATCAGAGGCAGCTGTCTATCATTGTCTCTGATTGGGGATCATACTTAGGCAGCCGTTTTCCCACCTTAGTTTGTGGGATCTTGTTTTTGTGTAGTGGCTTTGTAGCCTGCAGTACTTTACGTTCGTGTGTATTTTGTTGTTTTGTCTGTGTTCATTGACTAAATTAATATGTTCGCCTACCACGCTGCACCTTGGTCCGATCCGTCAATCCACGAGCGTGACAGAAGATCCCACCACAAACGGACCAAGCAGCGTGGCCAGGAGGAGCAGACATCGTGGACATGGGAGGATGTCTTGGACGGTAAGGGATCCTGGACGTGGGAAGAGATCTGGGCATGTATGGATCGCCTTCCATGGGAGCAGACGGAGGCAGCGAGGAAGGATCAACGGCGACTCCGAAGGTCACGACCACGACGGAAGCCCGAGAGGCAGCTCCCAAAACATTTTTTTGTGGGGCACACGGGGTGGTTGGCGGAGCCAGGTTTCAGACCAGAGCCAACTCTCCGCACTCGCTTTAAGGAGCGTGGGACCATTCAGGCACCCTGTTATGCGGTGATACGCACTGTGTCTCCAGTGCGCATTCACAGCCCGGTGCGCTTGGTGCCCGCGCCCTGCACTTGCCGGGCTAAAGTGAGCATCCAGCCAGGACTGGTTGTGCCGGCTCAGCGCTCCTGGTCTCCAGTACGCCTACTCGGTCTAGTATATCCTGCGGCGGTCCTACGCACTGTGTCGCTAGTGCGCCTTCACAGCCCAGTGCGTCCTGTGCCCGTGCCCCGCACTTGCCGGGCTAAAAGGAGCATCCAGCCAGGACGGGTTGTGCCAGCTCTACGCTCCAGACCTCCAGTGCGCCTCCACGGCCCAGTATATCCTGCGCCGGCTCTACGCACTGTGTCGCCAGTGGGCCTTCACAGCCCAGTGCGTCCTGTGCCAGCGCCCCGCACTTGCCGGGCTCCAGTGATGATCCATGGTACGAAGCCTCCAGTGATGATCCATGGCCCGAAGCCTCCAGTGATGATCCATGGCCTGAAGCCTCCAGTGATGATCCATGGCCCGAAGCCTCCAGTGATGATCCATGGCACAGAGCCTCCAGCGACGGTCTGCAGTCCAGAGTCTCCAGCGACAGTCTGCAGTCCAGAGCCTCCAGCGGCGGTCTGCAGTCCAGAGCCTCCAGTGACGGTCGGCAGTCCAGAGTCTCCAGACGGTCGGCAGTCCAGAGTCTCCAGCGACGGTCGGCAGTCCAGAGTCTCCAGCAACAGTCTGCAGTCCAGAGCCTCCAGCGGCGGTCTGCAGTCCAGAGTCTCCAGCGACGGTCGGCAGTCCAGAGTCTCCAGCGACGGTCGGCAGTCCAGAGTCTCCAGCGACAGTCGGCAGTCCAGAGTCTCCAGCGACGGTCGGCAGTCGGCAGTCCAGAGTCTCCAGCGACGGTCGGCAGTCCAGAGTCTCCAGCGACTGTCGGCAGTCCGGAGTTTCCGACGACGGTCGGCAGTCCGGAGTCTCCGGCGACGGTCGGCAGTCCGGAGTCTCCGGCGACGATCTACGGTCCGGAGTGTCCGGCGACGATCCATGGTCCGGGTCCTCCGGCGACGATCCACGGTCCGGAGCTTCCGGCAACGATCCCCGCACCAGAGGCGCCACCGAAGATGGCGGATCCGCGAGTGGAGCGGGGTCTACGTCCCGCACCGGAGCCGCCACCGAGGCTAGATGCCCACCCGGACCCTCCCCTAATGAGTCAGGTTTTGTGGCCGGAGTCCGCACCTTTGGGGGGGGTACTGTCACGCCCTGACCTTAGAGGGCCCTTTTATTCTCTATTTGGTTAGGTCAGGGTGTGATTTGGGTGGGCATTCTAGTTTGTCTATTTCTTTGTTGGCCGGGTATGGTTTCCAATCAGAAGCAGCTGTCTATCGTTGTCTCTGATTGGGGATCATACTTAGGCAGCCGTTTAACCACCTTAGTTTGTGGGATCTTGTTTTTGTGTAGTGGCTTTGTAGCCTGCAGTACTTTTACGTTTGTGTTCATTTCGTTGTTTTGTCGGTGTTCATTGAATAAATTAATATGTTCGCCTACCACGCTGCACCTTGGTCCGATCCGTCATCCACGAGCATGACACCATGCATTAAATATGCACACAAATAAGGAAATATTTGAAGCTCTTTGTGTAATTTTTTTGGGATTATACATTGTAGTAGAATATATATTATTTGCACATGCTTCTGTGTAATAGAAGTAAAGATTTGGAAAAGCTCTATATTTACATTACATTTACGTCATTTAGCAGACGCTCTTATCCAGAGCGATTTACAAATTGGTGCATTTACCTTATAGCCAGTGGGATAACCACTTTACAAGTGTTTTTTTTTCTTTTTTTCTTTGGGGTGGGGTAAGGGGGGGTAGAAGGGTTACTTTATCCTATCCCAGGTATTCCTTAAAGAGGTGGGGTTTCAAGTGTCTCCGGAAGGTTGTGAGTGACTCCGCTGTCCTGGCGTCGTGAGGGAGCTTGTTCCACCATTGGGGTGCCAGAGCAGCGAACAGTTTTGACTGGGCTGAGCAGGAACTGTGCTTCCGCAGAGGTAGGGGGGCCAGCTGGCCAGAGGTGGGTGAACGCAATGCCCTCTTTTGGGTGTAGGGACTGATCAGAGCCTGAAGGTACGGAGGTGCCGTTCCCCTCACAGCTCCGTAGGAAAGCATCATGGTCTTGTAGCAGATGCGAGCTTTAACTGGAAGCCAGTGGAGTGTGCGGAGGAGCGGGGTGACGTGAGAGAACTTGGGAAGGTTGAACACCAGACGGGCTGCGGCATTCTGGATGAGTTGTTGGGGTTTAATGGCACAGGCAGGGAGCCCAGCCAACAGCGAGTTGCAGTAATCCAGACGGGAGATGACAAGTGCCTGGATTAGGAGCTGTGCCGCTTCCTGTGTAAGGCAGGGTCGTACTCTCCGACTGTTGTAGAGCATGAACCTACAGGATCGGGCCACCGCCTTGATGTTAGCGGAGAACGACAGGGTGTTGTCCAGGGTCATGCCAAGGCTCTTCGCACTCTGGGAGGAGGACACAACAGAGTTGTCAACCGTGATGGCGAGATCATGGAGCGGGCAGTCCTTCCCCGGGAGGAAGAGCAGCTCCGTCTTGCCGAGGTTCAGCTTGAGGTGGTGATCCGTCATCCACACTGATATGTCTTCCAGACATGCAGAGATGCGATTCGCCACCTGGTTATCAGAAGGGGGAAAGGAGAAGATTAGTTGTGTGTCATCTGCGTAGCAATGATAGGAGAGGCCATGTGAGGATATGACAGAGCCAAGTGACTTGGTGTATAGCGAGAATAGGAGAGGGCCTAGAACTGAGCCCTGGGGGACACCAGTGGTGAGAGCACGTAGTGCGGAGACAGATTCTCGCCACGCCACTTGGTAGGAGTGACCAGTCAGGTAGGACGCAATCCAAGAGTGAGCCGCGCCGGAGATGCCCAACTCGGAGAGGGTGGAGAGGAGGATCTGATGGTTCACAGTATCAAAGGCAGCAGACAGGTCTAGAAGGACAAGAGCAGAGGAGAGAGAGTTAGCTTTAGCAGTGCGGAGAGCCTCCGTGACACAGAGAAGAGCAGTCTCAGTTGAATGACCAGTCTTGAAACCTGACTGGTTTGGATCAAGAAGGTCATTCTGAGAGAGATAGCAAGAGAGTTGGCTAAAGACAGCACGCTCAAGAGTTTTGGAGAAAAAAGAAAGAAGGGATACTGGTCTGTAGTTGTTGACATCGGAGGGATCGAGTGTAGGTTTTTTGAGAAGGGGTGCAACTCTCGCTCTCTTGAAGACGGAAGGGACATAGCCAGCGGTCAAGGATGAGTTGGTGAGCGAGGTGAGGTAAGGGAGAAGGTCACCGGAGATGGTCTGGAGAAGAGAGGAGGGGATAGGGTCAAGCGGGCAGGTTGTTGGGCGGCCGGCCGTCACAAGTTGCAAGATTTAATCTGGAGAGAGAGGGCAGAAAGAAGTCAAAGCATAGGGTAGGGCAGTGTGAGCAGGACCAGCAGTGTCATTTGACTTAACAAACGTGGATCGGATGTCGTCAACCTTCTTTTCAAAATGGTTGACGAAGTCATCCACAGAGAGGGAGGGGGGGGGGAGGGGGAGGAGGATTCAGCAGGGAGGAGAAGGTGGCAAAGAGCTTCCTAGGGTTAGAGGCAGATGCTTGGAATTTAGAGTGGTAGAAAGTGGCTTTAGCAGCAGAAACAGAGGAAGAAAATGTAGAGAGGGGGGAGTGAAAAGATGCCAGGTCCGCAGGGAGTCTAGTTTTCCTCCATTTCCGCTCGGCTGCCCGGAGCCCTGTTCTGTGAGCTCGCAATGAGTCGTCAAGCCACGGAGCAGGAGGGGAGGACCGAGCCGGCCGGGAGGATAGGGGACATAGAGAGTCAAAGGATGCAGAATGGGAGGAGAGGAGGGTTGAGGAGGCAGAATCAGGAGATTGGAGGGATTGAGCAGAGGGAAGAGATGATAGGATGGAAGAGGAGAGAGTAGCGGGAGAGAGAGAGCGAAGGTTGCAACGGCGCATTACCATCTGAGTAGGGGCAGAGTGAGTAGTGTTGGAGGAGAGCGAGAGAGAAAAGGATACAAAGTAGTGGTCGGAGACATGGAGGGGAGTTGCAGTGAGATTAGTAGAAGAACAGCATCTAGTAAAGATGAGGTCAAGCGTATTGCCTGCCTTGTGAGTAGGGGGGGACGGTGAGAGGGTGAGGTCAAAAGAGGAGAGGAGTGGAAAGAAGGTGCTTTTTGGCAAACTCCAAGCTGGCTGTCATGTGCCTTTTACTAAGGAGTGACTTCCATCTGGCCACTCTACCATAAAAGCCTGATGGGTTGAAAGCTGCAAAGATGGTTGTCCTTCTGGAAGGTTCTCCCATCTCCACAGAGGAACTCTAGTGCTCTGTCAAAGTGACCATCTGGTTCTTGGTCACCTCCCTGACCAAGGCCTTTCTCCCCCGATTGCTCAGTTTGGCTGGGCGGCCAGCTCTAGGAAGAGTCTTGGTGGTTCCAAATTCTTTCATTAAAGAATGATGGAGGTCACTGTGTTCTTAGTGACCTACAATGCTGCACAGAAATTTTTTGGTACCCTTCTCCAGATCTGTGCCTCGACACAAGCTTGTCTTGGAGCTCTACGGACCATTCCTTCGACCTCATGGCTTGGTTTTTGTTCTGACATGCACTGTCGACTGTGGGACCTTATATAGACAGGTGTGTGCCTTTCCAAATCATGTCCAATCAATTGAATTTACCACAGGTCGACTCCAATCAAGTTGTAGAAACATCTCAAGGATGATCATTGGAAACAGGATGCACCTGAGCTCAATTTCGAGTTTCATAACAAAATGTCTGAATACTTATGTAAATAAGGTATTTCTGTTTTACATTTTTGATAAATGTGCAAAAATGTATAACAATTTTATTTTGGTTTGTCGCAATGGGGTGTTGTGTGTAGATTGATGAGGGGAAAAAAACAATTTAATCCATTTTAGAATAAGGTTGTAACGTAACAGAATGTGGACAAAGTCAAGGGGTCTGAATACTTTCTGAATGCACTGTATACCAAACATGGATGCATTAGCATCACTAACACACATTCCAATAGCCGATCCTCTGGATACTGTAGAGAGAGAAATATATTTTGGCCCCTTGACGGGGGAAGGGCTGACTGGTCTTTGGACATTGTCTTGTGTTTTGTTGAGTCATTTGCCATGCGGCCGGTGACAGAGAGCATATAAATTAGGGCCGAGCCTACACTTTCACGCAGATGCCATCTTAACCAAAGCTTGGTGCCCATTTATCGAATACCACTAATTAGCCAAAACAGGCAAGAGAACAACACACTCCAAAATAGGAGATGTGGAGTCGTTGGGCTAAGAAGGAGGATGTCTTAAGTTCTCTCTCTGGGTTTATTGCCAACTAATCATATGAAATGAAAAAGCAGTGCTTTTCAAAGGGGTATGGGATTTCACAAACACATTATGAAAGGCGATACCATGAATTAACACTGATGGTGTTTCTTTGTGCCCCGTTTCTTTGTTCTTGTGTGTGCATGGCCATGCAATATACTGTATTTGACCTGGAACCTCATGGTCTGCTTGATGTCTATAGGGATTTTGTACATAGAAAGCAGTGACATACGGCAATACAGTCTGAAAAGGTCAGCTGGTGGCTACAAGGAAATTGAGATTAAATGTATGTTTCCACACATCTGTTATAAAACTCTAGGTTGTCTGGAGTTATTCAATGTTAGCCATTTTAAAAAGGCTCATAGCTACAGCCCTTTGCCACTCCATCACTACATTCAACTCAGGGGCCGAGGTGAGTAATGGGCTATGTTTTCCACGCAAGTGGGCAACAAAAACACAAAAACAAAATCATTAATTGCCCACATACAGTAACCAAATGCCATCAAGAGCCCATGCTCTCATTAACCTGGCACCTAATTATCTGCCTCCAGTCTGAGTCGTGACAAGCCCTGGCGTCTGAACCCAAGGCTTGTTGTGTCAGCAGTGGGATGCAGCGCTACCGCGGCCCAGCAAGCCAGCAAGCCAAAACTCCATTAGGTGTGTACCAGACAAAAGCCCTGTGCCGCAAAGGTTCCCTCCGCATGCGCCGCCGCAATGTTCCTTCCGTTAATGCCTTCCCTTCCAATTAAATCTGCAACTGTTAATTACTGTTAATTACCCCTCGCTCTGTCCCACCAACCCCCCTCTCTCTCCCGGTACGTCGAGACAAAACGGCATGGGAGCTGTTGTGCTGCTTCAGTTGTGCGTCGTCTCTGCTCCGGTGAAGCCCTTTGTAGGGAATTGAGTGGGAAGAGGGACTTGATTCACATGATGGGGGTGACGTGGTGGAGACTGCACGGTACATCATGGATAACTGGGGGAGGAAGTCACAGCCCATGGCCACGTCTCCAGACGAACTCATTAAATGGTGTGTAAAATACACTCTGAGAATAATTAGATACAAATCATATTTTTTACCTTGTTCATTGGATATTAGACAACAAGGAGTAGCACCATGATAAATACAGAAAAATGACTTTTTTATGACAAATTAACACAAACAACAAAGGGTTTTTCCCTATATTATTATTTCAAATGGTTATTTTATTGTGAATCACTATTATAATAGTTTATGTTAAACCTCAATACCACTGTAGGACTGTTACAGTTGTTCTTGCGATGGATATGATGTGATGCGTTGAGTAAAAGGGGAGCTAATTAAGAGTATATTTGTAGCCTTCGTGGTAGTCTCTGTTCTACAGTCCATCCTCTCTGGCCTGCTTCTGTCACATGGTGTTGTTGGGACTGGACATTGATCTGACCAGTTCCTCATCACTGTCACTCTACAGACCACAGAATCCTGCAGCATCAGGCACAACAATACGCCAGCAGCCATGATGCTCCTGTTCAGGTACATTAGACTTTGGCTGAACATTCTGTCCCTCCAAATCAAGGCCACTATTTACCTTAGGTCATAAATACTGTAAAAAAACAAATGTATATGTGTTCTCATTAGTGAGCATCTCAACATGTCTCACCACTCAGCAGTATGATGGCTGACAAAGACACCCATTTTCCACCGGTACAGCCTCTGCCTCCACGTGCAATTGGGGCTATATACGTTAGCTCGTCTGGGAAGGGAATGTTAATCTATAATTTGGAGTCATATTCTTCCCTATAACAATGCACTCTTCAGAGGGAAACAGCTCCCTCTCCTTCAGGCAGTGCAGTCTCTCCCGTGGATTCACTGCAACAAAATCTAAATGATGGACTGTCACCTCTCGTGTAGAAATGCCACTGCAAAGAATAATGTGTCTGCCACTGGATCATGGTCTGCTGTATGTTCCCAATGCTGCTTTATGGTTTATGAGATCATGAGTACACGTACACACACACACACACACACACACACATACACACACAAGCTTGCGCGCATGCACACAAACACACACCACACACACACAAATGCCTCAAGATGAAACCATTTCTTTAGAGGAATAGAGTAAAAACATGGGATTAATGACAGAAGTAGTGTTATTTCTTTCACCCTTAGCCTTTAGAATAATGTATGCATGGCTTCATGCACATTATATTTAGAGGAAGTGGTATCTATATATGCCTGGTTGTCTGTGTGTACAGGACCTGTTGTGTGACCTGGTTTCATGCAATCTCCAACTTCTAATTAGGGAGCTGCAGAGAAGGCTGCAAAGGGAGGAAAGATTAGTTGCCAATGGGTATTTCATAAGTGGCTTTCAGTGCCACATTTGCATTATGTGCTTAGGGTCTGAATAAAGAATCAGGGTTCCTTTGCAGTAAATTGAGGCTAGTAGCTAAAAACCAAAAGTACATAAGATATGAAATGAAATAAGAGAGGAAAAAGCTGCAAATTATGTTAGTTATCTTGAAATGCTATATGACTACTTTACTGTAAATCTCATGTTCTTTGTTACTAAATAATTAGATCAAGATGCCATTTTTTTTAAATAAGAGGGTACATCATTTGATGTCTTCACTATTATTCTACAATGTAGAAAATAGTAAAAATAAAGAAATACCCTTGAATGAGTAGCTGTTCTAAAACCTTTGACCGGTAGTGTATATAAATATGTAATATTTGTATTCTAGGTTTATGTTAGTATTGATGGTAAATGCTTTAACAGGCAAAATGAGTTAATGATTGCTGCTGATTCCGGGCTGCTTGTGCAGCCCAATGCTGGAGCCCCATGCTGTATGTGTTCTGTAGGGTCAGTCAGTGTGCTGATCTGTAGCGGAGGTCCTGTCCACTCATTTGGCCAGTCTCCCCGACCACTGCGTGCGGCCGCCACAGCCAGGCCTGGTCAGCCATCAACGCGCCACTTGGCCACCTGCCCAATCAGAGTCTGAGAGGGCAACATCCAGAGTGGACACACACACGGACACACACACACACACACACACACACAAACACACACTCATACACACACACACACGGACACAGCAAGTGACAGTAGGCCTTGTTTACCCAGTCTCCCTCCCTCAGTTGTCTCCCATCCTCTCCCTGTGGTCTGTCATGCCGTGTGTCACTTTCCACAAATGTCAGTCCCACAATGGGACAGTGATTAATTTTGGTGTGTTCGGCAAAATGTCTACAAGATGTTTGTTTGGGTTATCTTTTCCCACCCCCTAACCCATCCCCTCTCACATCTTTCTGATTCGGAGTAGCCCGACCCACCCATTCTCTTGTCAAAGCCTTTGGGAGAGGAGAGCATCATCATCGAAGGACAAAGGCTACCTGAACTGACAGGGATCTTCTTCTCTGACCGGAGCCACTTTTTGTCACGTTCTCTCCCCTGCCCTCGTGCTGTCCGATTAGAGTGTGCTGGTGGTGTATGATGGGAGAAGTCTTGACCCAGCACCGGGGGGCTGTAACACTTCACTGTCAACGGGCCTTATCACTCACCGCACTGGGAGGAAATACATCATCATGCTAGACAGGGATTCCCCAGTTTAGGGTCCCTTCCCTGCCCTCTATTACTCTGCATTTAATCTGCATGCTCACTTGTTCATCCCCACAGTATCTCTGCCTGCCTCAACTCTAAAGCCAAACCCTCTGCAGTTTACAGTGGATACAACAAGAACTCACATGCTTTGAAGTTTCTTTTTATAGAGACGGAATAGTAATGTAATGTGTGTATCTTTTCCTATTGATGCTGTTTGAAGGCGAGAGCGTGAGCACGCATTGACAGGTGTGCAGGGAACTGTCAAAGCCACCGTTTCTGTCTGTGGGGAAATATAATGATTTAGCCCCTGAATTAGACAGGATCCTTTTCAGCTTTTTTATGGTAAGAAAGAAAGTGAAACAAAATGTGGCTAATGCGTGCTAGCTTTCCCTCAGTGTGGTATCAGGTATGGTAATTACCCTACCATTAACATTGGGAATAGCTTGTGTATTAATGTGTTAATTACTGTACATGCTTGAGAGAGCCCGAAGGCATTCTCCCAGATTCTCTGTGCCATGTGGATGTAGGCCAAGCTTAAAAAATACTTTAAGGACATCAATGAAAGATAATCTTTATGTTTTATTGGCCAGAACAAAAGATTTCCAATGGTAATTTGATGCACTTCTCTGCTTCTAAAGCGAGAGCCACTAATCTGGGGGCTTTGAAAACGAGATGATATTAAGTCAAAAGAGACATGGAAACAAGGCTGTAGTGACACGGTGTTCTTTGTGTTCTGTTGTCTCTGGTGTGTTGCTTTGGCAGTGTGTTCTAATCACATGGTGGGTTAAGATTCAGGGATCCTCACTAATACTCACCCAGAGAGGGGGCACCTCGGAGGGATCTGTTCAGCTGGCTGAGAGGAGAGGAGAGCCACGGCCTGCCTGCCTCTGTACTGCCTGGGATTGTATCCTGCTCTAAGAGAGATGACCTTTGCAAATATTGACAGAAAATAAATTTGGTTTCGATTAGTTAGCTTTGGGAGACCTTTATGGATCAATGCAGTTAGATGCACAGTGTGTCGATATGCACTGGGCCTTTTCGTTGGAAGCATTGAGTAGGAAAGAAACTGCAGGGAGTCAGGGTTAGGTGTATCGAACAGGATATTTTGAAAGCAGTGGAAGTAACAGAGATACAATGTGTTCTTTCAAGTACAACAAGTTTGTACAGTTTATATTTTTCCATGTTTTTATCCCTCTATATAATCACATGCTATTGAGAGAAAATAATTAGGTCTATAATTAAATCTGTGGAACAAATATTCAAACAAAGTATACGTACAAAGAGAAAATCATCTCACCCAAAAAATATATCTCACTTTTCGTCTGTGATGTACTGAGGTGTTATGGTCTTCTCTCTGTGACAGTGTAGTACTTCAGTATGATCTGGTGGATAACCCTCCTCCAGCCCCTGATCCTGCTCCTCTCCTCAGCAGCTCACATTAACCCAGCAGGGCTCTGCCTTTATGACTCTCCTGCTCACACTTCAGTGATGAGAGTAAACAAACGCTGGGCCAAAGGTCAGCTAAGCCCCCGTAATAACAAAAGGCACAGGGGGAAAAAGTGGGAGGAAAGGAGAGTGGCCAGAGGCACTGCTCAGATCACTGTCAGAACTTCAAGCAGGGGTGATATACGAGACAATGACCGAAACCGGAAATGATTATAAACAGAGGAGGGGAGAGAAAGGTCTGCTTTGTCTTCATCTGTCAGTTGTGTTATTTCATCGGATCAGATACGACATTGAAACATGTAAAACCACACCTCATGGATATTAATCACAACGTCGACTTCCTTTCAACCCTAGAGGACAAATGAGGTAAACAACATGAATGCATATTCCAATGAGAGAAAAACGAAATACAAGGAGAGAGAAATACAGTAGAAAATAGAAAATCACAGCACTTGGTATTTTGGTTGGGAGCTGCTCCCTACTGTATGTTGAGGCAGGTGGTGGGGGGAAGTGTTTCCAAACCTGTTTGTTATAGATGGGCCTCGATAGCTGCTCTGGCACAAACACACACTAGTGGGCTGCTGGAGGGGCGGCACAGTCTCAGACCAGTAGAGTAATCATTTTTGTCCTGCTGATTTCCCAAATAGAAATGGACATGTATGATAAAAATGTCATGGCCACTCCACACGTCAGCTTCCTAATAGGATTACATGTCACTTCCTAATGTCTCGCTCTGTTTGCACAAGCTCTGAATGGACACATTATTGCTCACAGGAACTTTGCTGTAATATATGGTGAGACAAGTAGCTCTTTATGGCCTGTGATTATTTGGTTTGAATGAAACCCTGTAAATTCCCCCAGCTGTGCTTCCCCTGGATAAAGAGTGAGTGGAGTGAAAGTGACAACATGGTTTTGGTGTGGAAATGTGCACTGCTGCTCTCAGAGTTATAGTTAATATACCTGACATGAAAAACATGTCTAACTACTTACTACCACCTCCAGCACAAAGGAAAGTGCGGACTTGAGCTTGTGTCTGCAGCAAAGGGTAGGCAAAAGTACTGCACTGAGCAAACCTGTTTGCTAGATCAACCTCCAGATATTACCACCACCAGAGATACTATACTAATAGCTTAGCGTCTTTGCAGATATGATGGTGATGGGGTTAAAGTTAGTGGAGCAATGGCATATTGTCCACATGGGTGATTTGGCTTGGCATGCCTGATGCTACAACTCTTCCAGCATCAATGTCTCCAACACAAACAGCCACATTCATTCTCTACTTTCACAACATTACAACTACAAGATAAACATCCAGACAATAGATCCACAAATAGACACACGTGTCTTGCAGTAGCATCTCCACACCTGAAACACACACCAACGTCGATGGGGATTGTTAATTGGGTATGTGATGAGAGAGGTGACAGTATGTTACTTTAAATACCCATAAAGTATCACTGTTTCAATGTTGTGTACATGTGGTTATGTGTGTGTGTGTGTGTGTCTCAGAGAGAGAGAGAGAGAGAGAGAGAGAGAGAGAGCACACTCACTAGGTGTGCTGGGTCAGTCGGTCAGTCAGTGCCTGGTAGAGGCCCTCTCTGATTGCTAGGCTACTGCCTCACACAATAGAACCACTAATCTTCTTATTTAAAATTCAGGTTCACCATATCTTAATGAAGCCATAATAAACTGTTAAATCCCTACATCTCTGGCAGATAGAGACAACCCTGGTAATCATAACATCTGAGTGGGCACTCAGTGTTTACTGCAGATTGGGTGCCTTTTTTATTGCTTTATTGGACTGAATAATACAGGTTTATTTGGCTGTTTATTCTGACCGGCTGCTGTCTTTTTTCATTGCAGCCATCATGACAACATTCTCTATGCCTGCAGGTGTACTCCAATGCTGACTGATGGCTAATTAGGATTGAAATATATAGAAAAGAAAGAAAAGATAATAAGAAACAGCAGGTCCCGATAACAATAGCAAAAGTCAGCACTCAATTATTTGTTTGTGTGTGTGTGGTTGCGTGCGTGCGTGCGTGCGTGGTTGCATGCGAGCCCTGAGATTTCTTAGAGTTGCACAGTAATCAAGTGCACAATTAGAAGAGAAAAAGGGAAAATATTGTGTAAGACTAGTTCTCGCAGATTGTTGTAAATGAAGTAGAATAATGCTGATTATGGTAACATTAAGAGTGTGGAAGAACCTTGGCTTTGTTTTTAATCACAGAAAACCAACAGACAGTCGTGATTTAAGGCTTTGCACTATGCAGAAAAGGCAGACATGCTTGAGGTACAGTGAGGGGAAAAAATATTTGATCCCCTGCTGATTTTGTATGTTTGCCCACTGACAAAGAAATGATCAGTCTATAATTTTAATGGTAGGTTTATTTGAACAGTGAGAGACAGAATAACAACAAAAAATACCAGAAAAACACATGTCAAAAATGTTATAAATTGATTTGCATTTTAATGAGGGAGATAAGTATTTGACCCCCTCTCAATCAGAAAGATTTCTGGCTCCCAGGTGTCTTTAATACAGGTAACGAGCTGAGATTAGGAGCACACTCTTAAAGGGAGTGCTCCTAATCTCAGTTTGTTACCTGTATAAAAGACACCTGTCCACAGAAGCAATCAATCAATCAGATTCCAAACTCTCCACCATGGCCAAGACCAAAGAGCTCTCCAAGGATGTCAGGGACAAGATTGTAGACCTACACAAGGCTGGAATGGGCTACAAGACCATCGCCAAGCAGCTTGGTGAGAAGGTGACAACAGTTGGTGCGATTATTCGCAAATGGAAGAAACACAAAATAACTGTCAATCTCCCTTGGCCTGGGGCTCCATGCAAGATCTCACCTCGTGGAGTTGCAATGATCATGAGAACGGTGAGGAATCTGCCAAGAACTACACGGGAGGATCTTGTCAATGATCTCAAGGCAGCTGGGACCATAGTCACCAAGAAAACAATTGGTAACACACTACGCCGTGAAGGACTGAAATCCTGCAGCACCCGCAAGGTCGCCCTGCTCAAGAAAGCACATATACATGCCCGTCTGAAGTTTGCCAATGAACATCTGAATGATTCAGAGGAGAACTGGGTGAAAGTGTTGTGGTCAGATGAGACCAAAATGGAGCTCTTTGGCATCAACTCAACTCGCCGTGTTTGGAGGAGGAGGAATGCTGCCTATGACCCCAAGAACACCATCCCCACCATCAAACATGGAGGTGGAAACATTATGCTTTGGGGGTGTTTTTCTGCTAAGGGGACAGGACAACTTCACCGCATCAAAGGGACGATGGACGGGGCCATGTACTGTCAAATCTTGGGTGAGAACCTCCTTCCCTCAGCCAGGGCATTGAAAATGGGTCGTGGATGGGTATTCCAGCATGACAATGACCCAAAACACACGGCCAAGGCAACAAAGGAGTGGCTCAAGAAGAAGCACATTAAGGTCCTGGAGTGGCCTAGCTGGTCTCCAGACCTTAATCCCATAGAAAATCTGTGGAAGGTGGCCAAACGTCAGCCTCAAAACCTTAATTACTTGGAGATCTGCAAAGAGGAGTGGGACAAAATCCCTCCTGAGATGTGTGCAAACCTGGTGGCCAACTACAAGAAACGTCTGACCTCTGTGATTGCCAACAAGGGTTTTGGCACCAAGTACTAAGTCATGTTTTGCAGAGGGGTCAAATACTTTTTTCCCTCATTAAAATGCAAATCAATTGATAACATTTTTTACATATGTTTTTCTGGATTTTTTTGTTGTTATTATGTCTCTCACTCTTCAAATAAACCTACCATTAAAATTATAGACTGATCATTTCTTTGTCAGTGGGCAAACGTACAAAATCAGCAGGGGATCAAGTACTTTTTTCCCTCACTATATATTCCTCTGTTTAGCATCCTTTCGGAGAATAGAGGTTCCACCTCGCAGTTGAGCATTTGTCAGTTTATGGATGTTGCTGTCATGTAAGCCTCCCTGTACACACAGTGTGCAGCGCAGTGTGTAGATAAAATAAGGCAGGCCCGGGCTTTAGGCAATAGGAACACAGCACGTACACAGGAGGTACCCAATCCATGCCCACAGGGGATTACTCGCCCTGCACTATGGCTATATGACAGACATCCAGAGAAAGGTACCTATAGAAAATAATTTTGGCTTTAGCGGCTCACTGCTCAGGAGACTGTACAAGATGATACTTGTGAGGCTGGCACTTAAGCTGCATAATTTGAGCTGTTGTATTTTTTTTACTTTCATTGAAATCAGCCAGTCAGCCATGGAGGAGTCAGTTTAAGAGTTTGTGTCTAGGTGTGGTTCTTGATGAGTCCATCAAACTCACCCTCTGGTATAGAAGGAACACTAAACAAATGACAAATTAGTATTCAGTTACCATGGAGGTTCTGCCCTATCAAAAAAAGAACAGTATCAAAACGCCTTTGTGTCTGTGTCATGTCTGGAGGTCTGGATGTCCTCATGTCTAACTGTGCCTGTCTCTCTCTCTGTCTGATGTCTCTCAGGCCTCAGCATCCGTGGTGCCCAGGAGGAGGACCCTCCCGACCCCCAGCTCATGCGCCTGGACAACATGCTGCTGGCGGAGGGCGTGTCAGGACCAGAGAAAGGGGGTGGATCTGCCGCTGCCGCCGCTGCAGCCGCAGCCTCGGGCGGGGCCTCAGACAACTCCATCGAACACTCAGACTACAGAGCCAAACTCACCCAGATCAGACAGATATACCACACAGAGCTGGAGAAATACGAACAGGTTGGTGTGAGTCACACCTTTAACCATCTTCACATCACACCTTTAAGCTTCATAGACTTATTATTAGAGTACAAAAATAGGAACAAAATATTCACCTTGTAATATTGGAAACTTACATATTTTGTGGTTCGTTAACTAAGTCTCAGGAGTAGTGTAGTCTAAGTCTAAGTTAACTAAGTTAACTAAGTCTCGGGAGTAGTGTAGTGAAAGTCTAAGTTAACTAAGTCTCGGGAGTAGTGTAGTCTAAGTCTACGTTAACTAAGTCTGGGAAGTAGTGTAGTCTAAGTAGTGTAGTCGTCTCACTAAAATTAGAATATGATCAACTCATTCAGGTGCCATGTTGAGCTTCAGCAATAAAACAGACACATTATAGGAGAAAATGAAAGGTGGAACACTGATGCCTCAGCAAGGCAGCGAGGTGAATTAGACTAATGTACTCCCGGCACTCTGAGAGGAGAGGAGTGAGGGAGAGGAGGAGAGGAGTGAGGGAGGGAGGGGAGGAGAGGAGTGAGGGAGGGGAGGAGAGGAGTGAGGGAGGAGAGAAGAGGAGTGAGGGAGGGAGAAGAGGAGGGAGGGGAGAAGAGGGCACACAACACTTTGCCTGGAGTGAATGCATCTTTCTTAGGGGTGTTTCCAGGTTTTAATTATCTAAATGTAAATACTTAACGAATTTTACTCAGAGTAATGAGCTAAAGTGTGCACTACGTAAATGAGTTATTCTAATTAATCATGTATGAACTACTGGTTTAACGAAAAGCTGTTTAAATTCTCTCTGTGCTGGGCCGAAGCCAAATTGCAAATCGGCATTTGCATTTATAGATGACTTCACCAACTAAGTAATTTAAGTGCTCAGCAGTTGTATAAATACTGGGCTGTGTTTTTCAAAGGCACGATCAGTGAATATACTTTTAACTAAGGGAGAAGGCTCATAAACACATTCAGCTACTAAAAGAGTTGTTCCTAGCCAAAGGATACTAGCCATGAGGGCACTAACAGAGCTGGGTTGTGCTCTGTGATTTCTCTGCAGGCGTGTAACGAGTTCACCACCCATGTGATGAACCTGCTGAGGGAGCAGTCCCGCACGCGACCCATCTCTCCCAAAGAGATAGAACGCATGGTGGGCATCATCCACCGCAAGTTCAGCTCCATCCAGATGCAGCTCAAACAGAGCACCTGTGAGGCCGTCATGATCCTGCGCTCCAGATTCCTTGATGCCAGGTCAGTGTGTATATATGATGTGCCTGTGTGTTACTGTGTGTGTCTCTGTGTTCCCAATCTTTTGTTAGACCGTGACCCACAAAACCAATGTTTCTATCCTGGGGCATACCGTAGGAAGGCACTCAGAGACAGAACTATATGGAGACATGATCGTAATAACAACACTTCCTAGAAAATTAACTTCCTATCTGCGAAAAACTAATCCACAACATACAGCACCAAACAGTACACTGCAAATATTCATAGATAATCTTGCCATAAAGCACTCGTATTATGTATTATAGCCATCTTCTCAAGATAATCATCTGCTAGCACCTGAAAGCAGTTTAGATTAAATGAAGTGGGAACAAAGTTAAATGTAATCAGCAGGTGTTATGGATTACTGTAATCACAAACATTTTGTGGAGTGGAACTCTTCGGAGATTGGGAGGAAGCAGAAACCAAGAAGAACCACATTTGCTGCCCATTGCTTGTGTGAATTGCGGTAAACAAGGCAAAATAAGCAGCAAATGCTCAATAACATGATAAGTAGTTCCCTGGGGGGAAGAAGTGGACCAAGATCTAGTTAGAGTTGGTTTGTTCCCAATGGAGTTCCCTGTTGTGGAGTGGAGCTCTGAGGAGAGTGGGAGGAAGCAGAAACCAAGCAGATGCACATTTGCTGCCCATTGCTTGTGTGAAGTGTAGTAAACAAGGTAAAATAAGCAGCAAATGCTCAATAACATGATAAGTAGTGCCCTGGGGGGGTAAAGGGGACCCAGATCTAGTTAGAGTTGGTTTGTTCCCACTGGAGTTCCCTGGGGCCGTGGCATTTCAGGAACAATGCTCAGCTGGGCATGTCTTGATTTCTATAATGTACCGAGATGCAACTGGGCAGCTGGGCCTAGCGCTCCATCACCAAGCCTGCCCATCCGCTGTGCTAAACACTACACATTACACGCTTGGCCTGGAGATCAGAGACCAACAGACCAAATTAAGCAATGTATGTGTTTGTGTGTGTGTTGTGTGTGTTTGTGGGTTAAGCGGTTGGCGGATGGCTTGGTGTGTGTTGATGGTGCTGAAAGGAGGACACAATATTCCGCTCCCCCATTCCTTATTATTTTCACCATTTATGTGTGAGATTGATTGTGCTATTTGTCCGATCCAAATGGATGAGTTAATGCTGGTTTCGTTAATGAGCTTGCTTGGCCTTTCTCTCATTTTGTTCACTATTAAGGCGGAAAAGGAGAAACTTCAGCAAGCAGGCGACGGAAATCTTGAACGAGTATTTCTACTCGCACCTCAGCAACCCATATCCCAGTGAAGAAGCCAAAGAGGAGTTGGCCAAAAAGTGCAGCATTACAGTATCCCAGGTGGGTGCAGCTTCCTTATCTCAGACGCAGTGGCTGGTGGGTATTCAGGGGAGAAAAGGCAGTAGACGAGGCCCCTGGCTGCAACTCAAGACCAGCCTGGAAGGACGGCTAGGCCAAACTATCAGAGCACAATGTCCTTATCTTACCTTGACATTGAGCCTAATGACACCTTAGCTATGGCAGGTTCAGCCTATCACAGCAGTGGCCACGGGGAGGGGAGGTCAGTTTCCTAATATTGACCTCAATCAGAGGCCTACAGTGGGTAAGCCCTCCATAGATGTCCACTCTGGGCCTGTTAGCCTCCATAGATGTCCACTCTGGGCCTGTTAGTCCTCCATAGATGTCCACTCTGGGCCTGTTAGTCCTCCATAGATGTCCACTCTGGGCCTGTTAGTCCTCCATAGATGTCCAATCTGGGCCTGTTAGTCCTCCATAGATGTCCACTCTGGACCAGTTAGTCCTCCATAGATGTCCACTCTGGGCCTGTTAGTCCTCCATAGATGTCCACTCTGGGCCTGTTAGTCCTCCATAGATGTCCACTCTGGGCCTGTTAGTCCTCCATAGATGTCCACTCTGGGCCTGTTAGTCCTCCATAGATGTCCACTCTGGACCAGTTAGTCCGCCATAGATGTCCAATCTGGACCTGTTAGTCCTCCATAGATGTCCACTCCGGGCCAGTTAGTCCTCCATAGATGTCCACTCTGGGTCCCCTGCCATTTTCTTTGTCATTCTCTCTGTCTGCTTGATCAGTCCAGGTGGCTGGATGTCTACCAGTATAGTTTATCCAGTTAATCCATGTGATGTTTAAGGTACATGTGAAGTCACAGTGCTCAGGCTTAGGCTTGTACATGGCGACGACACTGCTTTACCCACTAAACATTCTGTTTTTACAAACAATTTATGTGACTTTCCCACTTTACCTTTAGCCTAATAGTTGGGTTAACCTGAAGGCAATATCATTTCTCACACCCAACCCCCACACCCAAACCAATTTAGCATTCTTATCATCCTGCACTCTGTTCTGCTACTATTGTTAAAAGTTGGATCATTTTGATTTTTGTATTCTAATTCAGATGTTAATCCATGGTTGTTCCAATTTGAGAATTACCTATACAATAAAAACTGATTTGCAATGTTCTCTCTTGTCTGTGGGGAGGGGGTGTGGAGGGGTATATTGAGTGTAGTCATGCAGAGTCAGATACTGTAAAAGCCCATTCTTTTTTGCCTTCAGGGGGTGGGAAGCACCATCACAGTATCACAGGTATGTCATGACTTCTCCTGATCCACTGTTGTTGTTTTCATTCTTTTGTATCTTTTCTTGGTTTCTGTATGTGCACCTTCACAGTCTACCACTGCACACAGATCCCCTCCCTCACACAAATGGACTGATATCCTGGCATTCAAAATCAATCTGATGCTATTTTAATGTAGGCGTACCATGCTTACAGCTTTACTGTAAGTTTGGCACCAAGCAAGTTCCACTGTGATACATAGAACCTGTGTTATTTTGCTGTTGAATCTCACTCGATATTGGGTGAGCAAATCATACGCTAAGACTAGGTATCATACAACATTTTCATAGTATTTTCAGCTCACTTTTGATCATTATTTGTGATTGTTAAATACAATTTAAAGACAACAACCATACCACCACATTATATGTTGGTTTTGATGTCTCGTCATATCATTTTACTTTTTTGTTATTTCTATAACACAAATAATTTGTTTTCTACATAGTATGCATTTTTTGTTAGTTATAGATCGTCTGCTAGTTATGCCCTTCTTGGTTTTAGAACATGCAGTGTATGTCTAACGTTCTGCTTTCTGCCAGTGTGGTTCATGTTAGTTGAAGGAGCGGGAATTGACCCTCACAAGTGGAACAATTCTCTGTTCTGAGTGCTTCACTAAACAGGGCACTGTAGGAGTTCCCAGGAGGACAAATCAGTCCAGAAATAAGAGGCCTTTTAAGAATTCACTTGAACTCATCTCAAGCCCCATTAGCAGGGTTCTCCTTGACAAGCCTTGTCCACTGCAGACACTCCTATTGACTACTTTTTAGTGCTTTGGCTCAGTCTTAGTGAGTTAGACTATGTCAAGTCCTCTCTGAGTTTGTTGTCTTACCCAAGCAAAGGAGAGCCTGGTGAAGTCAGAAGAGTTACTCCAGAGAATGAGCAGTAATGGCATGTTTGGGTATTTCCAGATACTCTCAAACTCAATGGTGAGCTTTGTTCATTGAGGAAGGCATTATGTACAGTATTACAGTACCTTTGTGTACTTCATTATATAACTTACTTTCATATACACTACAGTGACTGTAGGACAACTATGTGAATCAATAAGCATTAGATATCAGTCTGATGGTTATCACAGATGTCTAGGTGGAATGTACTGCTTTGATTTATGGATTGACTAAGTAGGTTTAGGTGGACATTATACAATGCCAATATTGTTCTCTGACTAGAGGGAACTGAGTGTGTGTTTCATTGCATGAACATATACTGAACAAAAATGTAAACGCAACATGTAAAGTGTTGGTCCCATGTTTCATGAGCTGTAATAATAGATCCCAGAAATGTTCCATACGAACAAAAAGCTTATTGCTCTAAAATTTTGTGCACAAATGTGTTTACATCCCTGTTAGGGAACATTTCTCCTTTGTCAAGATAATCCATCCACCTGACAGGTGTGGCATATCAAGAAGCTGATTAAACAGCATGATAATTACACAGGTGCATCTTGTGCTGGGGACAATAAAAGGACACTCTAAAATGTGCAGTCTTGTCACACAATACAATGCCACAGATTTCTCAAGTTTTGAGGGAGCTTGCAATTGGCATGCTGACTGCAGGAATGTCTATCAGAGCTGTTGCCAGAGAATTGAATGTTCATTTCTCTACCATAAGCCGCCTCCAACGTAGTTTTAGAGAATTTGACAGTACGTCCAACTGGCCTCACAACTGCAGACCACGTGTATGTTGTCATGTGGGCGAACGGTTTGCTGATGTCAACGTTGTGAACAGATTGCCACATGGTGGCAGTGGGGTTATGGTATGGGCAGGCATAAGATACGGACAACGAACCCAATTGCATTTTATCGATGGCAATTTGAATGCACAAAAAACTGTGATGAGATCCTGAGGCCCATTGTGAGGCCCATTTTATTTATTTTTATCTGTGACCAACAGATATATATATTTATTCCCAGTCGTGAATTCATAGATTAGGGCCTAATGAATTTATTTCAATTGACTGATTTCCTCATATGAACTATAACTTAGTAAAATCAATGAAATTGTTGCATGTTCCGTTTATATTTTTGTTCAGTATAATTTGAGCCAGTTTGCTACAGCAGGAAAATAATCCTGCAGCAACAGGAAATGTGAATTATAATTCATGGACATTTTTTTGTAGGGGTTGATAAATCTTTTACATTTACATTTTAGTCATTTAGCAGACGCTCTTATCCAGAGCGACTTACAGTTAGTGAGTGCATACATTTTTTTTGTTTGTTTTTTTCATACTGGCCCCCCGTGGGAATCGAATCCACAACCCTGGCGTTGCAAACGCCATGCTCTACCAACTGAACTACATCCCTGCCGGCCATTCCCTCCCCTACCCTGGACAACGCTGGGCCAATTGTGCGCCGCCCCATGGGTCTCCCGGTCACGGCCGGCTACGACAGAGCCTGGATTCGAACCAGGATCTCTAGTGGCACAGCTAGCACTGCGATGCAGTGCCTTAGACCACTGCGCCACTTTTCTTAGGGCAAATCAAGTCTGACATTTTAAAGTGATATTACAAACTTTAGAAGCATTTTTAAACCTTGAATACACTACAAGTTTGCGCCAAAAGAGTGTTAAAGTTAAGATCCTACATTTGTAATTGTGTTGTTCAAGATGTTACCTCACTTCAATTCAGGATGCAGTCTTACAGTATTATTTCACTCTGTCAGTTTGCATGTGTGACACTGGCCTCCTAAATGAAGGCGTGGGATTGGACGGCAGTGGTTTGTGTCAGTGTTTATGGATATGTCAGGGGCCATAATTGTTATAATCTCCAGACAGTGCTGCTGAGAGGGGGCACTCTGCTACCAGGGCACAGACAGGGACAGGCAGCCCTCTAGACGGACAAAAGAGAGAGAGCTCAGAACACAGGGCCGACTCAGCACCACAATCTGTGGTTACCCATTTCAGAGCCCACGCTCTTCACACTTATCAATATTTCAAGTCATTATATATTTAGGCGAGGCATGCCTTGGGTTAAGGTGTTAAGTATTCATGTTCTCTGTTCTATTATTGATAATGTTAGCAGCATGCCGGCTACTGAAACCACCTTTGTCTGTATAATTAAGACCCATGTTTGAGGATTCATTAAAGAGTCTCCCCAAGAAGACCTTATAAATCCAGTTGTATTGAGATCTTGGAAAGATCATCTATTCCCTTTCAATGACAAGAGCAGTGTATTGACCCGGAGTAGAAATGTTAGTGAATTATTAACTACTGTTACATGTCCTCTCTAGTGGGTCACTGAGAACAAACCCGGTGTCGTGTTCTTGCAAGCAGTCTGCATGGCCATTATACAATTGCTCCCTTTGATGCAGCTGCTGAGGTCAGGTAATTCAGTCTTTCAACTTGGCTCCCACTACACAGGGAAGTCAATTTAATGCACAGTCTGCCACAAGATAAAAGGGAATTAGTTCTGTGGATTGGGTTGTGGTCCCTACCTTACGGTGCCAGCATTTACACAATGTTTAGCTCAACTGTGAATCACCAAAGCCAGAGTTGAGTGGGCAGAAGAAAAATGTGTGTAGACCAGGGGAAGTGGCCCCTTAATACCCAGGATAGAGGATGCTAACACAGCTGAGGCTGTGCAATCTAACACAGTACAGTGGTTAAATACAGTCATAACAACTGGTCCTGTATAATATAATAATACTGTCCAGGTCATCACAAACTGATATATTCATTAGAATTTCCCCATCGTATGATTCTCAAAAGCAATTCTGTTTTTGAATTGATTGTAATACTTTTCTATGTCAAGCATTCATGTAACACAATGTTGAATACCGGTTAGTTTTTTAAAATATTTTTATTTATTATTTTAATTTAAACTATTTTATACTTTTATCATTTTTTAGCAGACGCTCTTATCCAGAGCAACTTACAGTTAGTGCATCCATTTTTTATTATTTTTTATATATATATATTTTTTTCATACTGGCCCCCCATGGGAATCAAACCCACAACCCTGGCGTTGCAAACGCCATGCTCTACAAACATCCCTGCCGGCCATTCCCTCCCCTACCCTGGGCCAATTGTGCGCCGCCACATGGGTCTCCCGGTCGCGGCCGGCTACGACAGAGCCTGGATTCTAACCAGGATCTCTAGTGGCACAGCTAGCACTGCGATGCAGTGCCTTAGACCACTGCGCCACTCGGGAGTTCACTATTTCTATCAATAATCAGAAGCAAATATGTCTGAGAACTACTGTTTCCAGTAGAACTATAACCCCAGTAGAACTATAGCCCCAGTAGAACTATAGCCCCAGTAGAACTATAGCCCCAGTAGAACTATAGCCCCAGTAGAACAATAACCCCAGTAGAACTATAGCCCCAGTAGAACAATAACCCCAGTAGAACTATAGCCCCAGTAGAACAATAACCCCAGTAGAACTATAACCCCAGTAGAACTATAGCCCCAGTAGAACTATAGCCCCAGTAGAACTATAGCCCCAGTAGAACAATAACCCCAGTAGAACTATAACCCCAGTAGAACTATAGCCCCAGTAGAACTATAGCCCCTGTAGAACTATAGCCCCAGTAGAACTATAACCCCAGTAGAACTATAGCCCCAGTAGAACTATAACCCCAGTAGAACTATAACCCCAGTAGAACTATAACCTCAGTAGAACTATAGCCCCAGTAGAACTATAGCATAACCAAAACCAGTGATAGTCACCATGATGATTACCATTATAACCATTTTCAAAGGCCTCTCATATATTGCTAATCCAAGCTTAGTGTCATTATCATTGTGTTTATTATGCACTATAATGCCATGTAGATGGGATGCATAAACATGTCTGGCTGTGGTGCGGCTAGGTAGTTTTCATTATGTTGTGGCCCTTGTGTTAAAATAGCACTGCTGATAAGTGACTTCTTTATGATGCGCTGTGAGGCCCATAGATGCCATTGAAGCAGACAGGTACGGCCTCGGTCCTCCATGTGATTTCATAAAGAATCGATTAAAGGTACCTACAGCTATTACCCAGCAGCACACACACACTCACACAGATAGACAGGCAGCTCAGCTCAGCCGTTACTATTAGATGAAACAGGCCAGAGGCTTTAGAGAGCTGTCTGGAGGCTTCTTTTTACCTATGCTTTGTTTTCTCTCTCTTAAATGTTAGCCCAAGTACTGTAACGCAGAATCATTACTGGTATTAAATGCATTATAGTTCTACATTTTCTGAAATATAACAATGCCATTGCATTTGTCTTAAAGTGATTTCTCGAAGCATGGTAATGTGTTTTTATTTCCTGTAAAATATATACAGGAATATATATACACTACATATACACTACCAGTCAAAAGTTTGGACACACCTACTCATTCAAGGTATTTATTTATTTGTACTATTCTTTACATGAAAAAATAAAATAAAATAATTAACTGTAAGTCGCTCTATATAAGAGCGTCTGCTAAAAGACGTACATGTAAATGTAAAACATCAAAACTATGAAATAACACATATGGAATCATGTAGTAAACAAAAAAGTGTTAAACAAATCAAAATATATTTTATATTTGAGATTCTTCAAATAGCCACCATTTGCCTTGATGACAGCTTTGCACACTCTTGGCATTCTCTCAACCAGCTTCACCTGGAATGCTTTTCCAACAGTCTTGAAGGAGTTCCCACATATGCTGAGCACTTGTTGGCTGCTTTTCCTTCACTCTGTTGTCCGAATCATCCCAAACCATCTCAATTGGGTTGAGGTCGGGGGATTGTGGAGGCCAGGTTATCTGATCCAGCACTCCATAGCCCTTACACAGCCTGGACGTGTGTTGGGTCATTGTCCTTTTGAAAACAAATGATAGTCCCTCTAAGCCCAAATCAGACGGGATGGCGTATCGCTGCAGAATGCTGTGGTAGCCATGCTGGTTAAGTGTGCCTTGAAATCACTGACAGTGTCACCAGCAAAGCACCCCCACCTCCATGCTTTACGGTGGGAAATACACATGCTGAGATCATCCGTTCACCCACACTCTGAAGCATTTATTTGGGCTGCAATTTCTGAGGCTGGTAACTCTAATGAACTTATCCTCTGCAGCAGAGGTAACTCTGGGTCACCATTCCTGTGATGGTCTTCATTAGAGCCAGTTTCATCATAGCGCTTGATGGTTCTTGAACTTTTCCGTATTGACTGACCTTCATGTCTTAAAGTAATTGTGGACTGTCGTTTCTCTTTGCTTATTTGAGCTGTTCTTGCCGTAATATGGACTTGGTCTTTTACCAAATAGGGCTATCTTCTGTATACCCCCCTACCTTGTCACAACAATGCTCAAACGCATTAAGAAGGAAAGAAATTCCACAAATTAACTTTTAAGAAGGCACACCTGTTAATTGAAATGCATTCCAGGTGACTACCTCATGAAGCTGGTTGAGAGAATGCCAAGAGTGTGCAAAGCTGTCATCAAGGCAAAGGGTGGTTATTTGAAGAATCTCTCTCTCTATAAAATATATTTTGATTTGTTTAACACTTTTTTGGTTACTACATGATTCCATATGAGTTATTTCATAATTTTGATGTCTTCACTATGATTCTACAATGTAGAAAATAGTAAAAATAAAGAAAAACCCTGGAATGAGTAGGTGTGTCCAAACTTTTGACTGGTACTGTATATATATATATATTAATATCCCAATAATGATACCACTCAGAGAGAGGTTTTTATGTTCTGCAGTGCTGTTGGTGATCTGGCTCAAAGGGTGAGACTGCCTGCATTCTCTCTGCCCTTAACATCCACTGTAAGCAGGTTAAGTAAAAAGGATGATGGCTATGGCTTTCATTGCTTCCAATTAAACCTTGCTTGTTAGTTTAACCTCTAGGTAAACACATAAAACAATTGATGTCAAGGAAACCCTGCCAACAGTGGCTTCGCCTGAATGGACATTTATTTTAATTGCCTAGATATTAAAGATTTAGAAGAACAGAGACATGCAGGATAAAAACGATCTGATGTCATGCAAATCTAGTCGGTTTGCGCATGCTGCAGCATTGGCGGGTTGCTAGAGATATTAAAATGTAAGCGCAGGGGTGGAAATTAAATAAAGCTTCATTAGGGGCAGCTGCTCTTTGGCTGGTCCGGCAGCAGGCTGCAGGAGCTGAAGGGAGCCAGAGCACGGCGACAGGCCTCTCTAATTTATAGGCCTATTAAAACACAACCCTAATCTCATTATTATTCCACTATTATTGCTTCACACACTGGAAATTATATTTATTTTCTTTCTTTCTTTCTTTCTTTCTTTCTTTCTTTCTTTCTTTCTTTCTTTCTTTCTTTCTTTCTTTCTTTCTTTCTTTCTTTCTTTCTTTCTTTCTTTCTTTCTTTCTTTCTTTCTTTCTTTCTTTCTTTCTTTCTTTCTTTGTACCAGGAGGTTGGAAGGATTTATTTATATCACTCTAATACTGTAGTATTAGTCATAGTGATATAATAGAAATATAGACATTTAGAAATATAGAAGCTGTACTTTCTACAGTTTTTAATGTTAGCATTTACTATTATTGTTAAAGTGGTAGCTAAGCTGTGATGATACAGTTTCAATTGAAAGAGATACAGCAAACATTTTGCCCTGAGATTGTATTTCATATGGACGCAAAGGTTCCTCATAAACGTTGTGTTATAGGCCTCACTGTTACTCGTTGACCTCACCATAGCACCACAATGCCTGCGTCCTGTGTTATGCAGCCTGGCTGACTGAATGTGCAGTGGCCAGACATGGGTTTGATGATCTGCACTGGTGACGAAGTAATCATCTTCATTAATATTCATCTGTGTATCTGTTAAGCAAGTTCAACCACCAATGCAGTAGCAAACAAGTCTACACATAAAATGGCAGAACTTATTTCCTTAACAATAGGCCTGGCAATGTAATACAATCAGGATCACTTTTTTTCAGTGTGTGTTGTGGGAGAGGAGCAGCCCCTGGTGTGTTGGTTTTGTCAAGAGACAAACAGAGAGCATGTCATGCTCCTTTCTATGATAACGCACAAGTGATTCCTGATTATTGCTTAATTAGCCTGCATACCCAGTGGATATTACTGCAGGGGCTGGGAATTGAGTACTTGATGGACCCAAACGTGACATCTTGAAACAATCACACTGCTCAGTGCACAGTGCCTTGGCTGCTTGACATCTGACACCTCGGCTCTCCCTCTGCTTTCTCCCCCAGGTATCCAACTGGTTCGGCAACAAGAGAATCCGGTACAAGAAGAACATAGGCAAGTTCCAGGAAGAAGCTAACCTGTACGCTGCTAAGACTGCAGTAACAGCAGCGCATGCAGTGGCCGCCGCAGTGCAGAACAGCCAGACCAACTCCCCTACCACACCCAACTCCGGTAGGCACCCCTGTGCAGGCCCTAACTCTGCCATCCACCCCCAGCCCTCAGCCCCCAGCCCCCCCCCCCCCCCCCCCCATGCTAAACCCCCACTCACGCAGCATTCACGCAGGCAGGAGTGACAGGCACTGCTCCCAGCCTGGGGATCACAGAGTCTCCTGTCTTTAAGCAGTCGATGCCAAATAAGACAAGCAAACTCATGCATAAAGAGTGAGTTCTTGGTTTGTGAACCGAGAACAGATGTATTTCTGGCAAAAAGACAATTCAAAATGATGTCACTGAGGTTTTGTTTTCCCTTGACTTTTCCTCAAACCCCCCTCTAATTTGTCAAACTGTAGCTCCACTGAATGGTAGTGCATTTTATTCTAAGAGAGATTGAAAATAATAGCTGGGAGCAGTTACAGTAGACTGTATATGTTACACCAATGTGAAATAACAACAACAATGCACACAATTGTTAATGAATAGGACTTACAAATGACAATAGAAAGACATCCAACACAATGTATAGTCCAGGAGAATGACTGTGATTTTGGACTTGGCTGACGTGACAAGGGGATGTGATCTGGTAAGCGATAGCTATTTGAAGTGGTCCCCTTTTTCTTGCACCCAGGATTCCAGATGAAAGATGAAGAATTTCAGCTGGACTCTGCAGAGAGCAAAAACACTCTTTTAACCAACATGTTTACTGGTACTGCTCTTTTCGTAAGCTTCTTATTGTCCTTGTCATTGGCATATGATATTCCCCACTAACAGTAGATAGGGAGTATGGGATGTGGAACAAATTGGGAGCTTAAAGTGATCAGACACATATTGGATCTCTGTTTGTGTCATGTGATTTTTATTCAGTTTGTTTTGCCTCTTTTTCTGTGGACAATCTGAATACCCTCCTCAGAGTTATGACATGACCATAATCCTCTCCTCTATCATGTGTTTCCTTGCTTCCCTTCATTTATTTTGTAGTTGCTTGCTTTCTGGGAATCTAGTAACTGAGTGTAGTAGTGGGTGTTGTGTATGTAGGTACAGTAGAGTGTGTTTGCGTTTGTGTCTCTCTGTGCTCTTGTGTGTGTGTGTGTTTAGTTAGTGTGTACTCTTTCCTCGTAGCCCTCTATATAGTTATTCAGCTACTTACATCTTCCCTTTCCAGGTTCTTCAGGTTCTTTTAACCTCCCAAACTCTGGGGACATGTTCTTGAGCATGCAGTCTCTGAATGGGGATTCTTACCAAGGGGCACAAGTTGGAGCCAATGTGCAGTCACAGGTAGGAGCCACAAACAGGGACAGGTCTTGTGTGCAAATGCACAGAGCCGTCCCAGTTTTGCCTGTGTGCTGAGCCATCCACAGTGCAGTCTTGAAGTACAGTAACTAAGACATGCTTCCCACATTGGGTCAGCTCAGATTCCCACAGTGTCACGGTCTCTACTGTAAAAGTGACACTGTGGGCTCCATGTTCTATTTTGAGAACACTGAAAGTGTTTGCTGACTGTAATTCGCTTTGAATGGAATATTCTGGCCTACCTAAAAATATCCCACCCCATTGCAATCAATAAGTATTTATCCAGAAAATGTATTTATTTAATCTCTGTAACAGACTTGATTGAAGTTTCCGATTTTGTGAATGCATTTGGCTTTGACTTGAGCTCTTGGGTTGGTGTTGGGTTTTATGGTATTGTATTCTCCCTACAGTCCTGTCTTGTATCCTTTCCTGTCTTTGTCTCATTTTGGTTGTGTTGCATTTTGTTGTTGTTGTCATCCGTTATGTTATTTCTTCAGGTTCAGAGACAGACATAGAGAAACATTGCCAGAAGATACTGACCCAACCGTTACACTTGTTTACACTGAACTGCACTGGGGTCAGAACGCAATCATGGTTACATTAAGACACCATGGAGCCGGCGTGAGATATGGGTCGGAAAACATACTTCAATGCAGGGATGGGATATGCCACTGTACTAAAAATGTTACCTTCATCCACACTGCTCCATCGAGAAGTTTGGAATACTACCAGTTTTCCCGGAAACCTGCCCTCATGCTAGCTAGCATTAGCCACATCAGCCATTATGGAATGGCACGTCACGTTGAACAACAAAGGAGCTGATTGGCTGACACTGCCATTCCAAAATGGCTGTCGTGGCTACTGCTAGCCAACATTGAGGATGAAAATGGCAGTTTTCCTTGAGTGGTGTGGATGAAGGTACAATTTGGAGTACAGTGGCATATCCAATCCCTGCATTGAGGTACGTTTTCCTACCAGTATCTCGCGCCGGCTCCATGCTGTCTTAATGTAACCATGATTGCTTTCCGACCCCAATGCAGCTCAGTGTAAACAAGCGTAACGGTATGGTCAGTATCTTCTGGCTAAGAGAAACATATCCATAAACATGTCAGATGGCCCAATTAGAACTAGAGACTAATGGTTTTGGACATAGCTGCAGAAAGTAGGGGTGCTGAGGGTGCTGCAGCACCCCCTGAAAAAAATAAAATTGTGAAGTAGGCCTTTATTGCTTGAACCCCCCCCCCATCGATAGCACCCCCAACCCATCTTCCCGCGGCCATGGTTTCGGAAAAGGCACACACCAATCATAACACCATGGAGAGATTAGTCTGGTTAACGTGTTGTCTGTGTCTCATAGTCCCTTTCCACATGGAGTACGTTTTGTATGTTTTGAAACATGGCATTGAGCATGTGTGTTAATGTAAACCCCCATGCCACAGTGAGTTGACAGCCATGCCCACCCTCTCTCTCCCATCAGGTGGATACCCTGCGCCATGTTATCAGTCAGACGGCAGGATACAGTGAAGCTCTAGGGGGGAACACTATGTACAGTCCACACGGCTTGAATGTAAGTGTCTCTGCTTCCTCTTTCTGTAGGTACCATTCTGGAGACAGTGGTTATACCCTGAGCAGACCTTGTCCAAACTGGATCCATTCTACTGTAAACATTAGTCACAGTATGGTAGTAGTAAGCTTGGATACAGTACACCTCGCCTTGCTGCCCACTGTGTGATAGAAGTGATAGCTTAGGCAAATTAATTGCACTCATTTATTAAATTTCTTGACCCGTTATACATTTCCTTTTCTCAGAACAAAGTTTCGAATATAACTAAAAAAGGTTTTATGGAAATGTAGGCTGTCAGGGACATAGTGAGAATAGATGGCTAATCTGAGCTCAGTGAGCCAGGGAAGTGAGAAACTCCATTCAGCACTGCCATAGCAAATGATTGAGCTTCTTAAAGGATGAAACGAACATGTGACATAGGAGATTAGAGATTGTAGAAATGTTGGCACATTTTCAATGCAGGAGGATAAAAGCATAGTTTAATAAAGCACACATAGATAGATCATAGTGCAGGTGGAATAAAAATACATTTGATTTAAAATTCACCCGTTTTTGCTTTAATAAACATCTTGTAATACCTTATGTGACTGAAACCAAAATGAAATGAGTAGGCTTTATTTGTGTTTCTATGTTTAATTTAGCTGTTTTGAAATGCTTCAGAGACTTTGCCATATCCTTATCATCATGATAAAATATGAACGTGAGATCGCCTGCAGCCTTTTCCAGACGTGAATTCCATCTTCCTTGATGAGGCCTGATACAGTGCTTTTTTGTAATACAGTGCATAATCAGAAGCCATCAGAGTAAAGATTAATTTATTTGATGAGAGAGAGCAAGAAAGAGAGAGGCAGAGGGAGAGAGAGGAATGACTACTGACATATTTCCCTTAGCAATATCAGAGAGAAAATATTACTACTTGTTGTCTTCATGTTGCCATGGTTGGGACAGTAGTGATGTGAAGGCTCAGTTATATTCAGCTTCCCAAAATGGCAGCTATTGTTATTGAGAGGCATTTGAATATAATGAGCTTATATGTAAATTCTGAAAGGATCATATAAAAGTTATACATTTTGAACCTTTGTCAACCATTTAGATTATAATTGTTTTCTTCATACTTGACAATCACTCCAGTCCCAGTTCATTGTATAAAAGTTGGATACATATTTGGAAGTATATTAAATGAGCACACAGTTTTTTTGTGGTGTTTTCAATGTAAGCAAGCACTCTCTTGCTAAAAGATAACACAGGCCGTCATTAGTGTTCTCAGACAGTGCTTGGTGTCATTTTGGTTTTGTTGAGCACCCTTTAGCCTGCAGGCCTTTTTAGCAGAAGTGTCAACCTCTAGCAGGCTCAACTGAAGTGTTTCACACTCTCTCACAAGGTTTCTCACTTTCCTTCACTGTTTAAGCCAGAGCTCACTTAATCACCACACGAGCATACGCTCTGAAATACAACATTACTGGCAAGTCAACACATCCAATAAGGGCACCTGCGAAAAGAGGAAAAACTTCCAGGCAACAGAAAAACATGCATTGGATAATTCATTTAAAGAGATGGAGAGGCCTTCTCATCCAGCAATACTCTTATTTCAATGCAGTACCGTCATTGTGACAAAGCAGACCAGATTAATATTTATTGACCTATTCCAGGTGATCTAAATCATCAAAATACTAATTCCACCAATGAGCCACATGTGCTAGAGCTCCCAGTGTACAGTAATGCAGATGAATTGTTTTGATAATGAAGTGCATCATAGATAAATTAGCATACGCTAACCTTTTGTTTTGTTGATGGTGACGGAGGTGATACAGCAAAGGCTAGTCCCTGCCGCGAGCCAAGCCAAGTCAGGCTGGCTCAGACTGGCTCTCTTGGAAATGCCCTGCCTTGTCACTTCCACTTAGCGTTCCCCACCTCACCCAGCCCCAGCCTTCCCTCTTCCTGACTGACAGAAGAATATGTAGTGACAAGCTGCTGAAATCTGATTGGACTGATTTCAGAGTTCGCTCCCATTGGCTGAGACATACGGCCAATTTGTTTCTAGGAGTCTCATTGCTGATGCTAGTATAACGCAGAGAATGGCCATTGGCTTGGCGGTTATACTATATCAAAGGAGACTAGGGATGGGAGAGATATCAAATTAATTAAATGAATTCTAATGTATCTTTTTGCGCGATATTCCAAATACCTGTATCGGAATAATACTTTTTTTGTATTCTTTTCTTTTATGAGCGTTTATGTCCGCTTGTTCTCATGTTGTATTTTTGGTCTCGTGTCTTTCGCTCCTCTGTGCTGTGTGCACTTTCCCATTTACACCAGAGATGTGTATTTAATGACGAGATGCTCATGTATCCTCCCTAACAATGGGAGTCGTTGTGCCAAAGGCGGGAAGGCAGGTGACAAGCTTAGGTCCAAAATAAGCCCATAGAAACTCATTGGCCTTATTTTCGACAGATTTTAGTGAGAGTGAAACCTCTCGCTTCGCCTCTTCCTCTCTGTTTACACACAAACACCAAGCACCTCCCCCTCCCACTCACAACAACAAAGATGAGAGATCACTTCTTCCTCTCTGACAAGCGGTTTCAACTCGCCATTTGCATTTGAGGTTTGGTCCAACAAAATCATTCATACGGTCACCGAAACACATTGAGACCTTATTTTACTGTAATAGCGGAGAAGTTAACCTCTCTAATGATACCCTTTTTATGTCTCAACTCCTCAAATTGCACGCAGAGCAGACACTACTAAAATGGGAGTATCAATTAACATGATTGTGGAAAATTAATGCTCAGTTTGTCCCGCTAGCAGCAGTTACAGTTGAAGTCGGAAGTTTACATACACTTAGGTCAACCTAAGGCTAATTGACATCATTTTAGTCAATTGGAGGTGTACCTGTGGATGTATTTCAGTGCCTCTTTGCTTGACATCATGGGAAAATCAAAATAAATCAGCCAAGACCTCAGAAAAAAATTGTAGACCTCCACAACTCTGGTTCATCCTTGGGAGCAATTTCCAAACGCCTGACGGTACCACGTTCATCTGTACAACCAATAGTACGCAAGTATAAACACCATGGGACCACACAGCCGTCATATCGCTCAGGAAGGACACACGTTCTGTCTCCTAGAGATGAACGTACTTTGGTGCGAAAAGTGCAAATCAATCCCAGAACAACACTGAAGGACCTTGTGAAGATGCTGGAGGAAACAGGTCAAAAGTATCTATATCCACAGTAAAACGAGTCCTATGTCGACATAACCTGAAAGGCCGCTCAGCAAGGAAGAAGCCACTGCTCCAAAACCGCCATAAAAAAGCCAGACTAAGGTTTGCAACTGCACATGGGGACAAAGATCGTACTTTTTGGAGAAATGTCCTCTGGTTTGATGAAACAAAAATAGAACTGTTTGGCCATAATGACCATCGTTATGTTTGGAGGAAAAAGGGGAAAGCTTGCAAGCCGAAGAACACCATCCCAACCGTGAAGCACGGGGTGGCAGCATCATGCTGTGGGGGTGCTTTGCTGCAGGAGGGACTGGTGCACTTCACAAAATAGATGACATCAGTCAGGAAGTTAAAGCTTGGTCGCAAATGGGTCTTCCAAATGGACAATGACCCCAAGCATACTTCCAAAGTTGTGGCAAAATGGCTTAAGGACAACAAAGTCAAGGTATTGGAGTGGCCATCACAAAGCCCTGACCTCAATCCTATAGAACATTTGTGGGCAGAACTGAAAAAGTGTGTGTGAGCAAGGAGGCCTACAAACCTGACTCAGTTACACCAGCTCTGTCAGGAGGAATGGGCCAAAATTTACCCAACTTATTGTGGGAAGCTTGTGGAAGGCTACCCGAAACGTTTGACCCAAGTTAAACAATTTAAAGGCAATGCTACCAAATACTAATTGAGTGTATGTAAACTTCTGACCCACTGGGAATGTGATGAAAGAAATCAAAGCTGAAATAAATAATTCTCTCTACTATTATTCTGACATTTCACATTCTTAAAATAAAGTGGTGATCCTAACTGACCTAAGACAGGGAATTTTTACGAGGATTAAATGTCAGGAATTGTGAAAAACTGAGTTTAAATGTATTTGGCTAAGTTGTATGTAAACTTCCGACTTCAGCTGTATACTAGCTGTCTGGTCTGTGTTTTATAAATGTGCAATAAGCATAAAACACAATTATATAAAGAATTGGGAACTCGTTCTCATTCTGAGAAATAATGTAGGCCAGTTGATTTCAACATCTGAACAAAGTGGACAGGCTAACATGCTCTTCAAACAGTTGGAGATGGACAGAAGGGTGTGTTCATAACAATTAAACTGTTCTGCCTCGTTAGCTAGTAAATAGATCCAATTTTGCTCAACTTTAAATGTAAAGATTTTCTGGCTACTCACTAGAACGTAGGCTTGTGCTTGAGTGATTGTTTACGAGACCTGTGTTCATTTTGTACAATGCCTGCTACAAGAAGTTATTTAAATCAAAATCAAATACAATTGTATTTGTCACATGCGCCGAATACAACTGGTGTAGACTTTACCGTGAAATGCTTGCTTACGAGCCCTTCCAAATGATGCAGAGTTTTAAAATAATAATAATAAATAATAAATAATGTGTAACACGAGAAAGTGCATTTTCATAAACAGACTTGAAAGCCAGATCAGTGATTGTTACGAAACCCCTCCCAGGTTAAACTATCTTGATAAAATAATTACATTATTAGTGACTCTTTTGGTTTTGGAAGGCTTATATTTAGCCTAGGTATAATTTCACAAGCCCTGAATTAATTAGATTATTACTGACTTTTTAAAATGCAGTGTATTGACCTTTCATTTTACAACAAAGCTTATTTAGAGAATTGCCCATATATATTGTGAATTGCCCATAAGTGTGAAAACAAATAGCTATGATTTTTAGGCCATATCGCCCAGCCCTAAAGGAGACACCTATTTGTATTAATTCATTAGTACATTAGCATATGTACACACACACATTCTGTGTACACAATGAGAATGACTATTTTACCTTATATTTTGGTGTATATCTGTATTCTACTAAATATATTTTATTGTGCAGAGTCATCTTATTCTCCCTCACATGAAAATGTCTTTGGGGGAATAAGAACTGGTCTTGATTACAAATAGAGGCTCCTTACAAAAGCATTAGGTTGTTAACATGGACTTCGTCGTTTGTAGTGATATTATATTACTAAGTATTTCATTGTGATCCCTTCTCTTCTGCTTCCTTCCTAGGCTAATGTGGGATGGCACGATACAACCACTCCATCTGCTGTAATCTCCCCAACAGAAGGACCTGGAAGTGTGCACTCTGATACCTCAAATTGATCTCTGTTATCGATGCATCTGATCCCCAAGCTGTAAAGCCTGAACTTTCACTGACTGACCAACCAGAGAGGATAAACAAAACTTTTTTTCAGAACTAATTGTCTTCTGCATCTACCAGAGTCCTCACCCCCCTCGCAATGACTTTCTACAATATGGACACCTGATGTTTTCTTGGTAGTTCAGTGAAATCGTCACTCAAACTTCATCAGTCTCATGATTATAATTCACCATTGCTTTAGTTATGTTTGTCATTTGAAGGGGTAAGCACGTACTGTACAAATCAAACAAGACCCAGATCTTTATTGTGTAACATTCATTTCAATTGACAATTGATTTAAGAAATAATGTTTCCCAAGCTGAAATTATTCCCAGTGCTGAGTGTATGACATTATGTGTTGTCATAGGTATTCTAAAACGTTTTGGTTTTGAAATGCAATATATATATATATATTTCCTATCTTTTTTCTTTTTTGATCAGTCAATTACCTTGACTCTTGGTCTCTTACCGTATATTGGCTAACAATGTAGCGGTTCTATCACTGAATGCCAGGAGTGATGTTTGTCTGTAATGTTGTACAGCAACTAAAAAAGGCTCCCGTTGTAAACTCACTGGCAGCTTGGGAGAGTTACTTTCAATATTAGTTATGCCTTACAACCACCAGTTTGAAATCCATTAGCAGTCATTGACAGTAGAAGTTCATTGACAATGGTAATGGGATAACTCTGTATTTTACAAACTTGGGACATATTTCACAGTTATCAACAAAAATAGCATAAAAAGACTAGAGTGATTGTCAAGCATAGAAAAGCATGAAAGTCATGTGATATTTAAATGTGTTTTTTTGACGATGGGTTGAAATAGTCATGGGTCTAACCGTAAATCCAACCAGTTATAGCACTTCCTTTTGGCACGTGACAAGATACCAGTCACACAAAATGTGTTGTATATAATATAGCTTAAGAGTATTTATACATCCCACCAATCAATACACAGATTTATTACCTCATTCAAACTCATAGAAACCAATAGATTTTCAACATTTCTATAGCTTAGAGTGCTCATTTACTACCTCTAAACAATATCACTACCATCGTTTTTGTCTTTTTATTTAACATTTTTATTTAGTTATTTTGATTACATCTTGTAATAAACTCTTTGTTTTTGTTCATGTAATCTAATGTATATTTTAATCTTTTAAGAAAATAAAGTTGCTTTGTTGCAACTATAAAAACACAAAAACAAGAAAATTGATGATGTTAACAATAATATTAATACTAAGAATAGTGAAAACATTCAATTTAAAAGAATAAGAGGGAGAGGTGCAAAATTGTTGGTTGGTGGATTTTGAGGGAGGGATGGGAGAACGTTGGTCATAAATTAACACCAAACAGTAAAACTGTTGTAAATACTGAAGAACATTTTAAATGTTTCTCATCTTGTTACTAATTCACGCAAAAAAACATTATAAAAACTGTAATGCATAGAGGTTTCAGTATTCAGAACTCTACATTTCAAGCTCTGTTTGACAGGGTTCAATCTTTCTTTGTCTTTTTTTGTATTGTATGTGATTCTGAAACAGATAAAGTCAAGACAAATTATTTGTGGCAGTGATTCTAATGTATTAAAAATGTCTAGTGTTTCTTTCTAACCAGACTACACCCTGGACTGAAAAGTCTTTCTTGTGGTAGTTATGTGTAATTTCAAACATGAATAAACTTTTTGCTTTCAAGACAGAAATTCCTGTTCTTATTATTAATTGGTACATTGTACATTTATACATTACTACTAACAATCTTTGAGTATAACAATCTCCCCCCCCCAATGGCACACATACACAATCCATGTCTCAATTGTCTCAAGGCTTATAAATCCTTCTTTATCCTGTCTCCTCCTCATCATCTACACTGATTGAAGTGGATTTAACAAGTGACATCAATAAGGGATCATAGCGTTCACCTGGATTCATCTGATCAGTCTATGTCATGGAAAGATCAGGTTTTCTTAATGTTTTGTGATTGACATGATTTCAGTTTCTTTGACTTTGACATTGTCATGATCAGAATGCATTACAGAAACGAATACAGTGAAAAGTAATAACATGGCTGTATATGGCTCATAAGACCCCTACAGTCACTGCATAAAGTATGACCAATCTAGGTACTTACAGTGAGGGAAAAAAAGTATTTGATCCCCTGCAGATTTTGTACGTTTGCCCACTGACAAAGACATGATCAGTCTATAATTTAAATGGTAGGTTTATTTCAACAGTGAGAGACGGAATAACAACAAAAAAATCCAGAAAAACGCATGTCAAAAATGTTATAAATTGATTTGCATTTAATTAGTACTTGGTGGCAAAACCCTTGTTGGCAATCACAGAGGTCAGACGTTTCTTGTAGTTGGCCACCAGGTTTGCACACATCTCAGGAGGGATTTTGTCCCACTCCTCATTGCAGATCTCCAAGTCATTAAGGTTTCGAGGCTGACGTTTGGCAACTCGAACCTTCAGCTCCCTCCACAGATGTTCTATGGGATTAAGGTCTGGAGACTGGCTAGGACACTCATTTTTTACATTTACGTTTTAGTCATTTAGCAGACGCTCTTATCCAGAGCGACTTACAGTTAGTGAGTGCATGCATTTTTCATACTGGCCCCCCGTGTGAAACGAACCCACAACCCTGGCGTTGCAAGCACCATGCTCTACCAACTGAGCTACAGGGGACCCCACTCCAGGACCTTAATGTGCTTCTTCTTGAGCCACTCCTTTGTTGCCTTGGCCGTGTGTTTTGGGTCATTGTCATGCTGGAATACCCATCCACAACCCATTTTCAATGCCCTGGCTGAGGGAAGGAGGTTCTCACCCAAGATTTGACAGTACATGGCCCCGTCCATCATCCCTTTGATGCAGTGAAGTTGTCCTGTCCCCTTAGCAGAAAAACACCCCCAAAGCATAATGTTTCCACCTCCATGTTTGACGGTGGGGATGGTGTTCTTGGGGTCATAGGCAGCATTCCTCCTCCTCCAAACACGACAAGTTGAGTTGATGCCAAAGAGCTCCATTTTGGTCTCATCTGACCACAACACTTTCACCCAGTTCTCCTCTGAATCATTCAGATGTTCATTGGCAAACTTCAGACGGGCCTGTATATGTGCTTTCTTGAGCAGGGGGACCTTGCGGGCGCTGCAGGATTTCAGTCCTACATGGCGTATTGTGTTACCAATTGTTTTCTTGGTGACTATGGTCCTAGCTGCCTTGAGATCATTGACAAGATCCTCCCGTGTAGTTCTGGGCTGATTCCTCACCATTCTCATGATCATTGCAACTTCACAAGGTGAGATCTTGCATGGAGCCCTAAACTGAGGGAGATTGACAGTTATTTTGTGTTTCTTCCATTTGCGAATAATTGCACCAACTGGTGTCACCTTCTCACCAAGCTGCTTGGCAATGGTCTTGTAGCCCATTCCAGCCTTGTGTAGGTCTACAATCTTGTCCCTGACATCCTTGGAGAGCTCTTTGGTCTTGGCCATGGTGGAGAGTTTTGAATCTGATTGATTGATTGCTTCTGTGGACAGGTGTCTTTTATACAGGTAACAAGCTGAGATTAGGAGCACTCCCTTTAAGAGTGTGCTCCTATTCTCAGCTCGTTACCTTTATAAAAGACACCTGGGAGCCAGAAATCTTTCTGATTGAGAGGGGGTCAAATACTTATTACCCTCATTAAAATGCAAATCAATTTATAACATTTTTGACATGCGTTTTCCTGGATTTTTTTGTTGTTATTCTGTCTCTCACTGTTCAAATAAACCTACCATTAAAATTATAGGCTGATCATTTCTTTGTCAGTGGGCAAACTTACAAAATCAGCAGGGGATCAAATACTTTTTTCCCTCACTGTAATTATATTGTGGCACACTAAATAACTATCAACCAACCAATCATTTTCAAAGGAATCCATCTTTATAAAAATGATCTCACGAAGAATTACAATGCTGAAATACCACGCTAGAACATGGTAGGATTTCTGAGTGAATTCAGCCCTTCCCTTAAAGAAAGCATGGTTTATCCACAGGGCCAGGCCTCCGTCAAAGACTTTAACACTTCAGGGCCCATTTCAGGCATTTGCTTGCAAGATGCCATTACATGTGCTAGGCTGACATGTGACAAGATCATATTAATAGTGCTAATTGTTGCCTGAGCCCTCTGACAAATGCAACTAAATGAATTGCCTCAAGTAATTAGGCTGTTTGGAGATTTGTGATTAGCCCAAATCCTGGATTATCCTGAACAAACAACATGTTAAACCATTGGACAATGAAGTAAGCTTGAATGTCTGCATGGAAATGCATGTAGATGCAATGAGTTGCGTATTGAAGTGCCTGCCAATTATGAAGATTAGGGTGAAGATGAGTGAATAAATAGACACAATCACCTGTCTAATAGAAAATTAAAAAGTTGATGATCAGAGACATAATTTAGTGTGCAAAATCCAGTGACCCAATGTGGTTTTTCAACAGGAACTTGTCTCAAAAGACTGCTGCCCAATATCATACAGTACACCTCTCTTATTTCATAGGACTGTTTAAGTGGCTTTTGCTCTCATTTGAAACTGTGGCTGGAAAGTGAAGACTTAATTGAACCTGGTTCTGAGGTTACTGCTTAGCCAACATGCTTTCTGCAATTAACTGAAATGTCAGCCACTTCTAATTCCAGTTATTCTGTCTGTGTGTGGTAGGAAGGCTGGCTCAATGGGTCCTTGGTTACCAATTTAAAATGGAAATTGACACCCATTTATTCCTATTTTCGTAGCATACTCCTTGAAAATGAACCATGCATTCACTGTGACTGAAAAGGGAAGCATGCAGCTATGTAAGGGCTGTGTTTACAGTATGAACCCCTGAAGCAATGTGTTCAATCTTAGTGACACTAGCTAAGAGCTAGCCCAAGATGTGCTGTTAAGGAGTGTATGCTACTCCTTTAATGCCCAAGGACCTTACATGTCCCCTGTAGCTCAGTTGGTAGAGCATGGGGTTTGCAACGCCAGGGTTGTGGGTTCGTTCTGTAAGTCGCTCTGGATAAGAGCGTCTGCTAAATGATTGAAATGTTATGTTCAGAGGTAAGCTGGCTCTGGCAGCCAAAACAGCCAAATACTCAATTGTGATATGGTTCTAGAAACATAGCCCTTTACTTTAATTTCACATCAAAATAATTTTACGAATGGCAAATGTACACTTACTGTACACGGTTTTAACACAGTTGCAGCAAACAGTATTTCTCACTTACAACAGTTTTCTGGTCTACTTCTTCTCTTATACACAGGTGTTTGGAGACGCTAGATTGCTAATAGAACAGATGGTCACCTCTCTTTTCTGTAAACAGTAACATGGAAATATGAGGGAGCCCTCTTCGGTGAATGAGAGCTAGCTAAGAGCTAAGAGTATACATGTACACCAAGAAATCTGTTCACTATGAAATCTCAGTTTCAACAGTAATGGATGGATTAAAAACCACTAATTGAAAACAGACCTGCATTGTAATTCATATGGCATTATTTAATTTAGGATAGCACCTGACAAGCTACTGTAGCTATACCTACACTGTACATCAGGCAGTGTGAACCAAGCGTGAGAATAGATCATTTGTTACTGTTGTATTGATATTGTATAGCTCAATAGTAGTGTTACAAAACTCTGAATGAGTACTGCACATACCGTAGGAACCCTATGTGGTGTGTAACAGAAATAAGACCCATTTAAATAAACAAAACCCATTTAACTTTATTGTTCAAATACTATCCATTGGGCTTTTGTATTAAAATAATCAAAATGACCAAAAGACCTTTAGAAATAAATTTGTCACAGAAGATGCCTACTAGAGCTTTCTCTAAGGTTCATTAAAGACAACATTTACCATGGAAATCATGCATCATTAAATATGGAAATTCTGAATTATATTAGCAATTGGTAAGATCTGAGATGATGCCTATTAAATTAAAGAAAGATATCATTTATTTTATTAAGGTAGAGTTCATATTCTGTTAAATGTAAATGTGAAATGCAATTTTCTACTCTTTTTGATTTATTGCTGCTAGTACATTGTTCAAAGACCCATGTTACATTTCAATAGGGGAACAATGTTTATACGTTAAAATGTAAACTGCTCTTGTATGCCTGGCTCTACTCACACCAAATGAAATTGGTATGATTTAAAGCATAAATTAATAAACACATTTGAAAGTGTGCAGAGAAAGGCAATCTTCCTATTTTTCATTAGGATCCTTTAATATTTAATTGAGGCACAACACTCCCATTACAGCACAGGACCTGCCTGGCTCTCCCTGCTTGGTGGGTGATGTATAGACAAATGCATTGCTTTTCCACCACACATTTTATTAGCATTGTACACAGACATCTCCATTGCAGGAAAATAGCGATGAAGATGAAAAATGATTGCTGTTTTTGGTTTGGTTCTGTGTGTATGTAAATTACCTAGGTTGAGTATGTTAGCATTGTGTAGGCTTATTCTGCTGTTTAAAATTGCCATCTGTCACCAAATAACCTACAGTAGGCTACCCACCACCCTTACTAGTAGGTAAAGGCTTCTGAAATAATTGTCATAATATTGAAAGAATTTTCAATATTCTTGCATTTTGATAATGTGGTTGTTATAGAGAAGTCAGTTAATATTTAGAGAGCAAATGTAACCAGTCTGGATGTAGTCAACACTCATTAC